TGTCGTCGTCGTCGCCTAAAGGATAAGATATCCGGTGCATTCGTGTTGAGCGATGCACCGGTGTTTCGAATCGCAGGCGGGTAAATATCTTCCATTGGCCGTAATCAGCCATCTAATGATCTACTGCCATTTATAAGCGAAAAAAGACCTCTGAAAACGCACTGTGGATGATCGCACTGGCTCCAGGTAGTATGGATGAACTCTACTCCGGTGGCGGGCAGTGCGATGGTCAAAACGAGATGACGGTATCATCTCGAACAATTCCTCAGAGCACTCCCCAGGTAGCACTCCTCACGTAGTAGGTCTCTCTTTTTTTTAATACATTATATAAGTTAATGCGGCCCTATTGTATGATATCAACGCTGTTGAACGCCGATGTAAAATCAGTACATTGAACTTGAAACAGATTTTGTTAATTAATAAAATGCTATTGAACATGTGTATTGGGTTTGAAATATGGAGGGTAAAGGCCTGGTTGGAAAGTTGGAAGCACTCGAGCACCGTAAAAATATATAAATGAATTTCAATAATCGGACTTTTTGTGTGACGTAAAAGAGCGAGAGGGTCACAAACATGCGCTTGTGACCTCAATATTGCAAAACGCGTTGGAATTTAAAAATAAAATAAGAAATCTGCCTGCTCCCTGCAGTTGTAGTGAAAGTTGTATTCCCTTCTCCACGCCTCTATATCTCCGTCTCTTTTTCTCGATTAAAAAATACAAATTTCAACAATATTAAAAAAATATTTTTTTTTTCCTTTGGTCCAAAAGTAGCCCTTTTGGTATATTTTTTCTGTTATGCTCTAATTGTGATATTAAATTATAAAAAAATATATTTTGCACAAATAAAATTTGTACGGATTAAGGTCGAGGTCCGATTGGATTAAAGTACTATTTTAAATAGGTACGTACGATTATCATTGAATAAGAGAAGATGGTAAATAAAACCCTTTTCTTATAATGCTTAAAGCACGTGTATACTCGGAAACATATTTCATACTGTTTCGATAAAATGTTATATGATACATAATTTATTAGTATTATAAATTCTGAGGTTTTAGCGCAGGGATAAATTCTGTGTATATGATTTTTTAAGTTATATTTTAATAAAAGCCATAACACTTTTTGTTAACGCTCCGTTTTATTTCCCATAACATTTTCGGAGCTTTAAATTTTCCATTCATAAGTACCTACCTAGTAAGTCCTTAAAATTTTTTAAGTGTCATATTATAAAAGCGGAGGTAACTGTAATTGATCATAGCATTAACTACTTATGTTTCACATCACTAAATAAAATGTAATAATTTCTTCGTCTTAAAAATCTTTCACGGCAAATTAAACACCACTTAGAAAACTTGATGTGACACATGGCTGATCGTTGTGAATGTTTTACGGTAATCATTAATCATATAGTGTGGTCTTATATTACGTCGCACGTAAAGATGTTTCACTAAATAGAATTAGTGGTTTATGCAGTATTTTATAGAACAAGGTTTCTATGTTTAAATTAAATCTCTTCTCTCTCTTCTGTGTCGTTTCCTCATTACTGAGGGTCGTGACCACCTTGGTCCAGTTTTTGCACCAGCTTCCTCCAATGTTGCCTGCATTCGGCCTGCTTAATGGCGCCCGGGACGCTGGTTTTTGTGGCCTCCTTGATAATGTCTGTCCACCTTATATTAAATTAAATAGTTTATGTTAAATTGAGATTGTGGCGAATAAGAAAAACTTCGATGCACCGGACTGTAGTTTATCATTATAATACTAAATCTTTCCTTTTATATCAATTGATGTTATTCCAATAAAAGATAAGTTAACACATTTTTCCGCACGCACGTTTCACTCAATCGTTTTCGCCATCTTGCTTCCTCCCTTTCTCTTTCCTAAAATCTCCTCTCTCACTCACAACCATAGAGTTAGTGTTGTAGGTACAAATTAACTCCACGCTCACAACTTATCATTCCAAAATTGTTTTTACCTTTCCTGCATACATGTGTAGAACTCCACTTACAACAGTCAGGAAATAATACACAGATTGCAGTAGTTTACTTAATTCTGTATTGCTTTATTTGTAACTCCACTTTTACAATCTTAAGACATCTGCTCACTACCCAATACACTGATTTCTGTCCCGTTTTTTCAGACTACCGCCTTTTTTACTATGTCACGTCCCCACTACTGTAATTGCTCCCACCAACAGTTTTGCTATTTGACAATCCGAAAATTGTCTTAACATTAACAAATTTAATTATTTTACAACAAACCTTACTTAAGCTTATAATTATTAACTAAATATTTATTTTTATTTTTGATAGCTAAGCTAAGCTATGGAAGCGATAATTTCGTCCGTTGGGCACAAATTTTCATTGTTTAATTACTATTACCTATTTTTTGCGATTTCTTCGTGATGTTTTTTTTCTATGCTCGTTTATTTGAATCAAAGACATTTTACTTAAGAGTTTTAAGCCTAATTTTTAAGTCGGGAGTAATAACTACCTACTACTACAAACTGTAATGAGAAATATGTGTGTGGAAAATACCTGCCAAACACGGTATCATGAATTTTATTCAAGTATTGGTAATTTTTTATGAGAGTATCTTTCTAATTTAAAACAAAAAAAAAAACACAAATGTAACTGTTATTGAATGTTTATCAATGAACCAATTTCATGTCTGATTTTTATTTATTGGAACGAAGTTCCTTATCGCGCGTTGTGAAAGGGGGCTAGACGGAAAAAATTCTTACGAAAAGTTGTCACGACACTTTTTGCTATAAATTCTTACGAAAAGTTGTCACGACACTTTTTGCTATAGTAAGCTATTGTAAGTTGTGCGGCGTCGCATGTTTCTCTGTCTGTCTGTCTGTCTCTCTCTTTCTTCATACCTCGAATAGAACTTTAAATTTATATTTTTATAATTGGGAACTTCGTTCCTATCCGGTGTCCCACGACACCACACATCTTTTTTTTAAATTTAGGTATTGGTGACTCTGTGATCTTTTTAGCTTCACCAAGCTGGTCTGGGTCGAGTTTTCAACGCTAAGAACCCCATGACAGCTTGGCGAATGTATCTACCACCGGATTAGAATCCTTATAACGCCCGGGTATTAAAGCTTAGCCTGTGGTTGAGGGCTAACGATCGCGACCAGGATAAAAACGTTAACAATTTTTTTCTTAATGCTAGGATGAGTGAACGAACTCTCAGCGACATCTGCGACGTAAATGCACCACTCACCTTGAGATAGAAGTCATAAGGTCTCAAGTATAGTTACAACGGCTGCCCTACCCTTCAAACCGAAACGCATTACTGCTTCACAGCAGAAATAGGCGGGGCGGTGGTACCTACCCGTGCGGACTCACAATAGGTACTACCATCAGTAATTACGCAAATTATAATTTTGCGGGTTTGATTTTTATTACACGATGTTATTCCTTCACTGTGGAAGTCAATCGTGAACATTTGTTAAGTACGTATTCCATTAGAAAAATTAGTACCCGCCTGCGGGATTCGAACACCGTTGCATCACTAGATACGAATGCACCGGACGTCTTATCCTTTAGGCCACGACCAACTATGTGCTTAGTAAAAGTTAACTCTGCCCTATCTCTATTAGTGGGTGTCTTAAAAGGGAATTATAGATTTCATCCAAGCTCAAGCGATGGCATACTCCGAACATTACACCATCTGCGATCGCCCATCTTGACTTTAATGTTGGTAAGCCTACAACTAACTACTACCACAATTAAAAAAAAAACTCAATCAACACAAATACTTTTAACATTTTATTTAATTACAATAACATATTATGTTAATTACGAAACACGCATATTAATGAACATTATAATTACATACTTTTAAAGCTGCACTTTACATTCTAAACAAAATAAGGCACATAAAAATCCATTGAGTGTTTATTTCTACGTACATAGCATTTGTCCTTGTCGCACCGGTAAGTGTTCCAATGCGTGCGACAAAAATAGACAAAACAATTGCAGTACATGGATTCATTTATTTTCTAGATACGACACATTGAAAGCATAAAAGAAAATATACTGGAATGTTCAAAAATCTCCATTTTAATGTCTATGACCACACTAACTAAAGCTTTACAAACAAACAGAATAGGTAGTTGACACAATTTTTTATATTGATCAACACAAAATTATATTACGGACATATTTGTTATCTTTAAAAAAATTTGCAGTAGTTGTTAATTGAAAAGAAAATTATTCACATACATCGGGGGTTGTGACGTCACCAGCACGTGCGAGAGAGATAGAGCAACTACATTTTCCCCGTGGTCCCATTGTTTATTGCAAGAATCCCAAAAATATTATTGACACAATATTAATACAAAATATTATTATTAACATTTCAGGGGTAGGCAGCGGCTTGGCTCTGCCCTTGGCATTGCTGAAGTCCATGGGCAACGGTAACCGCTCACCATCAGGTGGGCTGTATGCTCGTCTGCATACAAAGGCAATAAAAAAAAAACACAGGCTATTTTCAAAAAAAAATTATTAGCAGAGTTGAATTATGTAAATGAGTTCACTATCGGATTAAAATAAAATAAAAAGGGTTATTTGACTACAGACCATATACAAGATGTTAATTTGATTCACAATTGGTGACCATTATAAAAAAAAAACATAAAATTTGCACTAAATTTTTGCAGGAAAGTTTGAAAATTAGAAGTCAGAATTGATATACGTTCTGCAGTGACATACATAGTTATTACAGGTTCGGGTGTTAAAAATTCTGTGCAAAAACATGGACACACAAGCGTGCTGCCCAGTACTTTTTTTTATTGCTTAGATGGGTGGACGAGCTCACAGCCTACCTGGTGTTAAGTGCTTACTGGAGCCCATGGACATTTATACCGAAAATGCGCCACCCACCTTGAGATATAAGTTCTAAGGTCTCAGTATAGTTACAACGGCTGCCCCGCCCTTCAAACCGAAACGCATTACTGCTTCACGGCAGAAATAGGCAGGGCGGTGGTACCTACCCGCGCGGACTCACAAGAGGTCCTACCACCAGTAATTACGCAAATTATAATTTTAAGTTGTGTACATGAAACGCTACTCGGGGTTGCCATATCCACGTACCCATTTTAAAACTGACGGATAATCGAATGGTTTACAATTACCTATTGAATCTCACACGTTATTAAATATATAGAAAATATATGAACACACCGTTATTACGAGATTCAATTCCTATGGCACATTATTTTTTCAATACTCATGTACCAGTGTATTCACTGTTTTCCTATAAAATATTGCACAGAATTAGGTATTGGTCTGTATAGATATAGCAGTGAGGTAATTCGGGCTACGTTTAATTGTGACAAATAATATTTCAAATGATCGTCGCTTCTTGTCCGACGATAAGTACCTCCTTCGAAAGGTTTCCGCTACCGATTCTGCAATTCGTCTTAATTTGTAGACCTTTCACACTGTGAAGGAAAAAAACAACAACATTAATACTGATTAATTTGGTCATATAAAAACTTTAATATAAAAAAAAGAAACATTGCCTATACAACCATTGATTTTATTTTATTCACAAACATTGTTTTGCTAGTTTTTTGTTAGGAAATGACGAAAAAACTACAAATATATTATACTTTCGTTACTTTACACTTGACATAATTTTACAATAAAATTTTACAAATATTACGAAAAATAATGTTTTATCTGTGGTATCATTACCCCGGAGCAAATAGAGCAACGACTTTGTAGAACCCGGTCCATGTGTCCCGCCTATTTTCATTTTAGCCTTTTTATTTTTAGGGTTACGTCTTGTATCTTATATCTTATCTCATCTCATTTCATTTCATTTCATTATATCATTTTCATATAAAAAAGTTTTCATTAAAATTAAAATAACAGTTGACCGAAAGGTCTTAATTACCAGGTCACAAAATCAATTTAAAAAAAAAATTTTTTTATCTGTGTTATCATAACCCCGGGGCAAATAAAGCATCCGGAGCAACGACTTTGTAGGACCCGCGCATCCCCTCGGATAGGAACAGCTCAGCAAAACTCACTCAGTGTATTTCGAACAAGCGCCGGCTTCCACCTCGCAACGTATGCTGTTCTCGGCGCAGTCCATGATCGTGGTGGCGCTCAGCTCGACGCGCGCGCCCCAGTACATCTGGATCCCGACGCCGCAACGTTTGATGATGCAGTTACGAAGCTCCACCTGAATCAGATGATACACAATGAAACTGACCGAGCATACCCGATCCTGTGGACCGAATGATAACAGTCGACGTCGCAAAAAGCACGTCATTACGGATCCTCCCGATCCATTAACGGTGCTTTTAGGCACCACAAGCACCGGTCACCGTCCTCGTCGAACCCGCCGCTTGCGACGAAGGGCTCGACGAGCGAATTAACCCATAGACACAGCCAACTGAGTTTCTCGCCGGATCTTATCAGTGGGTCGCGTTTCCGATCCGGTGGTAGATTCTACGAAGCACTACTCTTGCTAGGGTCAGTGTTAGCAACACTCCGGTTTGAGCTCACCTACACACGTTAGGGTGAAGCTGAAATAGCCTCTCAAGGCCATCAGCATACCTATGCTGATTGTTGATTTTTTATTTTTATTTATTTATTAGGCTCACAATACATATCACAAGCTAAAATATCCATAGACAAAATAAAATTAAAAAGAAACAAAATCTGGCTTGCAACATAAGTTATGTGCGCACGACAAAACAAGACAAAGTGCTGAATTTGTACAACAACGATCCTTACAATTTATACGACAAAACAACACGATAACGAAAACTTTCTCTGGGTCTGCGGAGGGACTTCGGTTCCCTCTGTATTTTGTACCGCATGTTCCATGGGGAGTGCTCTGAGGAATTGTTCGAGATGATACCAACGTCTCGTTTTTACCATCACACCGCCCGCCACCGGAGTAGAGTTCATCCATACTACCTGGAGCCACTGCGGTCATCCACAGTGCGTTTCCAGAGGTCTTTTTTGCCACGTACCATCCGGCTATGGAATGAGCTCCCCTCCACGGTGTTTCCCGAGCGCTATGACATGTCCTTCTTCAAACGAGGCTTGTGGAGAGTATTAAGCAGCAGGCAGGGGCTTGGCTCTGCTCCTGGCATTGCTGAAGTCCATGGGCGACGGTAACCACTTACCATCAGGTGGGCTGTACGCTCGTCTGCCTACAAAGGAAAAAAAAAAAAACTAATCTAACTTATAATGTAAGGAAATAATTTAATTCACAATATACAATTAAACAATTACACTACTAACCTATTACTAACGTGGAGGATGCCTTGAGCATTTTTATAAACGTAACTATTATAGCCTATAAGTAAAAAAAAAAAAAGTGAGCCGTCACAGGACGCCTGGCAGATGTGAAACATCGACATTATTTTGTAAAAGTAAGTAAAACACAGGCTATGTGTACTGTAGTAAACAACACTGTATACACTACGGAGTATACACTATAGGTATCCGAGTTCAGTGTAGCGAGAGAGATGGCTTAACGCCGGATCGAGTGGGAGAGAATCGCACAGTCGATTGCGCATGGCGACGCGTCGCCACACCGTACACACTACTGCATATAGACTGTATATATATACCATCATATGGTATGGCGTCGCCACGCTAGGAATCGGTTTTACGTGCGGCTATAGATGTTTCACATCAATATCCAACTCAGTTGACGATCCAGTAGGACTACGCAACTACTACCCAACTATCCTGTTTGTTAAGCACCTGGTTGGGGACAAAAGCATTTAGGCTAGTGGCACGCGCCCGAGCGGACTCACAAAACGATCCTACCATGACTTTACATATCACTCAATATACATATTTAATGTTATGCAATATCATTTATTTATTCATCGCTGAAACTATTCGTGAGCTTGTCTTAAGTTTGTATTTCATTACAAAAATTAGAAATTGTCAGCGAGAATCGAACACCGGCCCAGTCGCATCGCTCGATACGAGTGCACCGAACGTCTTATCCTATAGACCATAATTGAGTTGTATACAATTGAAACATCGATCTGATATCTCAAGGCGCCTATCCGCTGTTTGCTTAAGATGATATTCCAGCTTCGCGCGGATGGATAGGTCAGCTCACGGGCTCAACCTGAGAGAATTTGCTAACACTAGCCCTAGCAAGAGTAGTGCCTCGCAGAATCTTCCATCGCATCAGAATCGCGATCCACTTTACCCCACTGAGTTTCTCGCCGGATTTTATCAGTGGGTCGCTATTCCGATCCGCTGGTAGATTCAGCGAAGCACTGTTCTTGCTAGAACTGGTCAAATCAAGTAAATTCTCTCAGCTTGAGCCCATGAGCTCACCTATCCGTCCGCATGTAGCTGAAATGCCTCTTAAGACTGCCAGTGAATAGGTAGGGGGGAAAAAGCGATCCATAGATAAGAACCGGAAATTCAATGGGATAAATTTTCATTTCATTGTGGTATCCAAATAGACAGTAAGTCTTCAACTCAACTGTACAATAAAAAAATAAACAATAAGTGGCACTTCATCGTTACGGTCAATCATATAGCACAGAAATATGTACGTTATGTTTATTATAACCTTTTTTAATTGGGTGTGACGAATTTCAATGATTTACTTAGTAATTTTCTGCTTTTCTTATATTTATAGGTTTATAATAGAGTTCTTGTTCTAAATATGATTTCCTTCATTTGAAACGATTAGCCATGCCATAAATAATGTTTTCTATTACTTTGAACATTTATTACTGCATTCTTCATGTATATTAATACAATAATATTTAAAAAATATAAATCACTCAATATTATCTTCACAGCCCGCGCGGGTAGGTACCACCACCCTGCCTATTTCTGCCGTGAAGCAGTAATGCGTTTCGGTTTGAAGGGTGGGGCAGTCGTTGTAACTATACTTGTGACTTAAGAACTTATATCTCAAGGTGGGTGGCGCATTTACGTTGTAAATGTCCATGGGCTCCAGAAACCACTTAACACCAGGTGGGCTGTAAGCTCGTCCACCCATCTAAGCAATAAAAAAATTTAAAAAAAGACGGTCGTTTAAACATTATGGAAAGATAAAGATAACCTGCCTACGTCTCGCTTAGGCGTTTTGATTTGATCACTCCATTCAGATTTAAGTAATCAATTAAATAATTATCAGAGAAGCTCGTTTAAGTCGGAATCTATTTTTTTAAATATGTCGTACGCGATATTTCTCATGATGCTCTCGATATTCGTGGTCATAGCGACTTTTGTTTTGTATCGGACCAAGATCTTAGGGTTATACTTCAGTTACACAGTTGAAGTCGTCGTGGCCTAAAGGATAAGACGTCCGGTGCATTTGTATGTAGCGATGCACCGGTGTTCGAATCCCGCCGGCGGGTACCAATTTTTCTAATGAAATATGTATCTAACAAATGTCCACGATTGACTTCCACGGTGAAGGAATAACATCGAGTAATAAAATCAAACCCGCAAAATTATAATTAGCGTAATTACTGGTGGTAGGACCTCTTGTGAGTCCGCACTGGTAGGTACCACCGCCCTGCCTATTTCTACCGTGAAGCAGTAATGCGTTTCGGTTTGAAAGGTGGGGCAGCCGTTGTAACTATATTATATCTCAAGGTGGGTAGCGCATTTACGTTGTAGACGTATATGGGCTCCAGTAACCACTTAACACTTGGTGGGTTGTGAGCTCGTCCACACATCTATGCAATAAATAAATAAAACAATCAGCGTGATGTTACAATATGCCCTACCACATCAGACAGTCAGTTGTATAATGAAATGTAAGTACATACCTGAGCCCCATTATGTACGACTATGCCGGAATAGAAATTGTCAAATGTGCAGTCTTCGATCAGGATCTTAGCACCCGACATGGCAACTATGCCTTGCGCAAAATCACTCTGAAATCAAAGGTAGAAAAAATATATTTTCCAGTCTGCAATAATCTTAAATCACCATGTCATCATATATTTGTTTTATTAATAATGTGGCTGTGAGCCTCTGAATTTTTTTATATTGATTGAATATTAATTAACAGGAACACTGATTAGAGATTACATGTGAAATTAGCATCAATAGAACTAACTTTTATTTTGCAACAAAAAATTATGTAACACGTTTAAACTAAATTCTTTCTTTTTATTTTTTTATTTATTGCTTAGATGGGTAATCGAGCTCACCTGGTGTTAAGTGGTTACCGGAGCCCATAGACATCTACAACGTAAATGCCACCACCCACCTTGACATATGAGTTTTCAAGTCTCACTTTTTACAGTACTGCCCCACCCTTCAAACCGAAACGCATTATTGTTTCATAGCAGATATAGGCAGAGTGGGGGTACCTACCCGTGCGGACTCACAAGACATCCTACCACGAGTAAGGGTCTGATTGGGGATTAGTTTTAAACACTCAAGGGATGTAGTACTAACCTGTGCATTTTTTGAATCATCCAGGAAGGCGCAATTGGTTATATGCAACGTCCCGGCTCGCATCAGCAGCACGGTGTTGACGAGGGCGCAGTGCAGGGTCAGGTCGCGCAGACGACAGTCCTCACTTAGCATCAGCAGCCACGAACGCATGTCGGTCGCCCTTAGGGTCGCGCCTGTATCATTACAAGACTCACAATATTATGTAATTTCAGCTTTAAGTAGATACATTGTACAATGGTCATTATCTTTAAAATGAGAATAATCCCCCAAAAATTGGGAACCCAATAACGCCATCAAGTATTTTTAATAAGCTTTTTTTTAAATGTTGACATTATTATGAACGTAGGAAAAGTTTAACGTATTTTAAAACATTAGGTCAAAGTTTCTGTTATATTAGATCATAATTATTAATATATCTACTAATATTATTTCATTAAAAATAATCTTTCATTTTTACTAGAATTTCTAGATAGATTTATAACTGGCCAATGGAGTTCTCGTGAACCATCCTAAGACTGGAAGTCTAGCGGCTTGGCTCTGCCCCTGGCACTGCTGAAGTCCATGGGAGATGGTAACCACTCACCATTAGATGGGCCGTATGCTCGTCTACCCACGAGGGAAATAAAAAAATTAATTAAAAAAACTTATTAATCACCTTTATAACTGCATATAGATATTTGAAGAAGAGGCATTTCTGGTATTTCGTAATGTTTGCTGCACACCACGACTTCCTCCGGTTCGAGAGTGAGACCGTCTTCTGCCGAGACCATTACGGTCAAGGTGCATTCGTTGGTGAGACGAGAACGCAGGAATTTAGAGATCTCGTCGAATTCAAATATTGAACCTCCTTGCCAGAGAGCTACCACCTGCAAAAATATACAACAGATATAGATTTATACATTGTACATTAAAAATAGTATTAATGAGAACAAGACAAATGTTTAGTTTCCAAGGACTTATGATGGGTGCATCAAATTCCAGAGAGAAATACAGACATTATTATTCCAAATTCAGGCTTTAAGAATACTTGGTAAATTTGTTATTGATGTAGTGAATATATAAAGTAATATATAACAACATTGTTGCAATTTTTTTTTTTTATTGTAAGATTACTGGTGGCCCGGAGGCCTTTCCAGCTTCACCAGGACAGGTGGCGAGCAAAGGCTCAGCCAGAAGGGGTGGGATTTGCTAACAACTGCCCGAGCGCCTCCGAAGGAGACCTAACAACTCAAGAGAATTAGTCTAACATATATTTGTTTGTGCTGTTCTTAAAACCACAGATTCGCGTATGGAAAAACCGACCAAATTTATTTGTATTTAGATTTAGTAACTTTTTCCCTCTCTAAGCACCTGTCATTTTTGTAAATACTTTGACATTGGCAAAATCAATGCCAAAGGCGTTGGAGCCAAATTATCTAAAAGAAGAAGAAGAACTCAAGAGAAATTGCTTCGCGAATGAATCTACTACCGGATCGAAATCGCGACCTACTGAGAAGACCCGGCGAGAAACTCAGCGGGCTGATGCATGGGTTAGGTTGCACGTCGACCTCTTTGTCGAGTTCGACGAGTACGGTTACCGGGGTTCCTCAGCCTGCTCCTAGTGTTAGAGCTGAAGGTATCTAATGCAAGAGTTATTGGATCTGATGGATCCGTAAGGACGTGTCTAGGGCGACGACGGTGACTTGCTCCTGCGTGATNTGACGTGCCGCGCAGTCATCGACAATTTTAGACGTCGTTTGCAAGAGTGCCGTGATCGCAACGGATTACATTTAGGAGATGTTATTTTCAAAAAATAATTCCCGTTTTTTAAGCTTTTTATGTAAATAAAAATTTAATTCATAATGTAATTAGTTTTATTTTAATAATTTTTTTTCATATCAAAGGACTTATGGGCCACCCTGTATAACAACATTGTTGTATTTATTTTTTTTATTGTAAGATTACTGCTTGCCCGGAGGCCTTTCCAGCTTCACCAGGACAGGTGGGCGAGTAAAGGCTCAGCCAGGAGGGGTGGGATTTGTTAATAACTGCCTGAGCGCCTCCGAAGGAGACCTAACAACTCAAGAGAAATTGCTTCGCGAATGAATCTACTACCGGATCGAAATCGCGACCCACTGAGAAGATCCGGCGAGAAACTCAGCGAGCTGATGCATGGGTTAGGTTGCACGTCGAAATCTTTGTCGAGTTCGACGAGTACGGTTACCGGGGTTCCTCAGCCTGCTCCTAGTGTTAGAGCTGAAGGTATCTAATGCAAGAGTTATTGGATCTGATGGATCCGTAAGGACGTGTCTAGGGCGACGACGGTGACTTGCTCCTGCGTGATCAGGATTCGGGGAGTAGTCAGCGGCGGCAACGATGTTTGTTAGACAGACATACGAGATAGACAATGAGAATACCACCACCCACATTTTGGTTTTAATATAATTATATTATTTGTACTGTGGTCACCCTTTAAAGCTTTTTGCAGTAGAAATAGCAAGATGGTAGTTCTCCAGTGGTGGCTTACATTACTATTAGTGAAAAAATCAAATTAGGCCACAGAACATTAGTTTACACTTACATTTTTCTTACTTTTCTTTTTTTGCCATTTGTGTTTCATTTTGGCCAAATACTGTTCTCTGATCAGAGGGTTTTCATACAGTGTCCACTGCGACATAAGCCCGTCTAAACGAGCATTTAACTCTGCACATTGTGATATGTAGTTCGGGGGTAGAAGTGAATCTGCAATGCACCCATTTTTGAGACCATTAAAATAATGTAATAACAAGAACAGGGGTTTTATATACCATTGCTGTATGTAACTTAATGTCTTTTAAATATTCCTCATCATAATTTCGGTCATCATTCTCATCAAACTCGTCGCTTGCAACGAAGGTCTCGATGAGTAAATTAACCCACAGACACAGCCCACTGAGTTTCTCGCCAGATTTTGTCAGTGAGTCGCGTTTTCGATCTGATTGTAGATTCTGCAAAGCACGGCTCTTGCTAGGGTTCATGTTAGCAACGTCGTCAGGTTTGAGCCCCGTGAGCTCACCTACTAGTTAAGGTTACGCTGAAATAGCCTCTTAAGGTTATCAGCTTAGGTGGAAAAAAAAACATAATTTAGAGCAGGGAATCCCAAAGTATTTTGTATAAGAAACCTCTTTTCCATAATTCGATAATTCGACTCTGACTGCTGTAAATTTATAGTCAATAATAATAATAATAATAATAGCCAGTTAGCATGGTATGGACATTTAATGCGTAGACAGCAGATGCATGTGAATAGGAGATCTATGGAAATGGTAATACAAGGTAGAGGGGGAAGTGGTCAAACGAAAAAGAAATAGACGGAGTGTGTGAATGACGATATGTGAGAGAGAGGAGTAAGTGTTGAGATGACGGTTGATAGAAGAAAATGGAACAGACAAATTTGCTGTACTGAGCCCACCTAATGGGATAAGGTGGAGAAAAGGATGATAATAATAATAGCCAGGAACAATTCTCGCAAGCCTCTCCGTTCCCAGGCATTGATATACATGCTTATATACAGTCGTGGTCAACTAATTAGGGACATTCAAGATAGTGAAGGGCTATAACCGGTTATGTACATTTAAATATAAAACCCTATTGATTTCTCAGCACCTATTATTTGCATAATGTGGTCCGATTATTATGCTATAAATGGCTGTAAATAAAAGATATAATAAATAGAAAAAGTATTTAATATCAAAGATTAAACATGTATTAAATATTAAGGTACAATTCTGTAGTGGACATTTAATTAAGGACAGTAAAGTATAATGAAAAATACAGTTACACAAAACTTATAATCTTCAGTGTTATAATATCTCTAACAGCTTCATTTTATTACTTGTAAAATCAGTACCCAGTAGCAAAACCTTTGTTAGTAATTACCGCTTGACACAGATGTGGCATAGACATTATCAGTTTCTGACATGTTTCGACAGGAATGTTTGCCCATGCCTCACAAACAGCTTCATGAAGCTCATCCAAATTTGTATTACGATAAGTGGCAACTTTTTTCTTGATTTCGTGCCAAAGGTGCTCAATTGGGTTGAGGTCCGGGCTATTTGCTGGCCAATCTAGCACCGATACAAACTGACTGGTAAGAAACGACTTGACTGAATGGGCGGTATGTTTCGGGTCGTTATCTTGCTGAAACATCCATATAATAGGGAGATGCTCCTCAGCATAGGGAAGCATAGTTTCTTCCAATATTGCCTTGTATTGATGTTGGTCTAAGTTACCTTGAACTTTCCTCACAGGTCCCACTCCACGTCCAGAAAATGAACCCCATATGTTAATGTTTTCACCGCCATGTTTCACCTGTTTTTTTGTGAATCTTGGATTCATTTCCACTTTTACAGGACGCCGTACATATTGACTTCCATCTGAAGAAATCAAATTAACCTTGGTCTCGTCAGAGAAAAGTACATCTTGCCCTTGGGCGTAGGTTCAATGTCAAACGAGCATTTCTATGTTCTTTCTTCAATAACGGTACTTTGCGAGCCACTCTTCCGAACAACCCTGCTTCTACCAAACGTCGTCAAACGGTCCTCGCAGATACACAGGCTCTTTCGTTTGCCCCAAACGCTTCTTGTTTAATTAAAATAGAGCCTAGAAACGGATCTTTCTTAGCTAACCTGGTTATCATTCTATCTTCTTGCGGAGTCGTTTTTCTCGATCTTTTTGTTCTGGACACATTTAAAGCGGTGTTATAGGGCTTGAAATGTTGCACTGCATTGCATACCATAGTTTTTGAACAATTTAAATGTTGTGCTATCCTTCGGTATGACCAACCACGCTCGACAAACTTCATGATAATTTTTCGTAGTGTTGGATCGCAACTTTTATTTTTGCCCATTTTTCTTCAAAATAATACTCAAAACTTAAAATAAAAAATCTGGATTGCCGCCAAAACGACCACTAAACAATAAGAAAAGAAACAAAAAAGTATTAAAATTCCAATTATGAAATTAGAACGCAATACCTCAGTGTCCCTAATTAAATGGCCAGCCAGCATTCTTTGAACCAGTAGCACTATGATATTGTATCAGCTATACTGTAAAGAGGCTTAATGTTTAAGAAGTTGTTATTGTTTGTATAATCGCGCACATAAATGACTAATTACACTTACATGTAAAAGATATGGAATATTGCTAAGACTCATTGGAAAATAAAAAAAATATTCACAATTTGGCTTAACTAGAGATTGTCCCTAATTAGTTGACCACGACTGTATGTTTAAATATGTATATGTCTGTCTATCTGTTCATAATCTGTTCATGAATCTATGACTCTTTCAACACTAACTATTAAACTACCAAGTCAGTCATTAATCATTAATGATTCCAATGATAATGAACCTAATATATAGCTATATATAAAAATAATATCAAATTACCATCATCATTTTCCACATCCTCTTCACACAGTGAAGAATCTAAAACATTTAGTTTATTGTGTGCATCTATTGCACTACTTCTCAGTAATGTTATAGATCGTGCTACACAGTGTGGTATGGTCCCATTGTGCATGTCAGACCAGAGCTGCATACGGTCTTCTACCGTGTTCGGTAATAGGATCTTATCATCCTGGTCATCCCATGGCATCCAAATGTCGTTGTAATAAAATCTGAGTACAGTAAAAAAAATGGTTTTAATTTTATATTTGTTTATTCAGTTTTTCAGTTTGAGCCTTTGGTTGTGCAACGGTTATAGTAACTTATGGGGTATTCACTCATTTAGCATTGGGAACATTAATTCATTACTGTTATATGCTACTATGAAAATATCAAAATGAAGATCTGATACACAATTATTCTTTACCTGAGTAGATCAATGAACTCTGCAGTGGTTGCAGCATTCACACATTGTTCACGTTGTTTTGTGGTTGGCCACAATTCCACTAGTGGAACGTCGACAACTGACTCCGGGAGAGTGACTGCTTCATGCTGCACGCTTAGTACATCGACAGATGACGACAAGTTCTCAAAGTCCACTGAAGTGACTGTGACATACGCTATGCAAGGGTAGCGAACTTCTGAAAAATGAATAGAATAAAATTATACTTATTATAGTGCAGGTACTGGATCTAATAATTATTATATTTCGGTAAATGTGATTAATGCTTTTGTAATGTAGATACTTAAGTTTGTACTTACCGAATTTCTTACAAAATTCTTTTGATAATTTCCAAAGCGCATCCCATCCAACTGGTTCCACTAACAGCTCGGCCTGTATGGACCACTGTTCTCGTGCTGTGCCCCTTGCCGTGTTAAATACCTTCAGCAACTCTTGAAGTATCTCGTTATCACTCCGGGAAAATGTATAGACGGAAGGCATCTAAAAAGACAAGCTCATTTAAAAAAAAACTTGTAGACAACCGTCGTGTTACCTACTTTCCATTCGATAAGAACTCTAATACCTTTTATAACTCACATTAACACAACGTAATTAAAGTAATTAATTAATATGTGATGTATTACAATTATGTGTTATTAATATTTTGTTATTTTGAAAACAATAGATTAAATCCGGTGAAGTGATTTCGTACCGTAAACTTCAAATTCAAATTTTGAATTTTCTTTCTCAATTGACGGCAAGTAATTACGTCATTTTTATTTTTTTATTGGTCGTTTGAACCGGCATAGGGAATATAATTCATTCTAATAATTAATCTTTTGTTACAAAGGCTGAAGCCATATTATTTGTATTAATTTGAATGAAAATGAATGAAATTAAACGGAAAAAAATGTAATAAAATCAAATGGAATTAAATGAGTTGAATCAGGACAGTGGTCGGCAAAGTGTGGCTTCAGTACCGCATGGTGCTCTTTGGCTCCTTAAGTGCGGCTCTGCATTTAGTGCACTACTTATTTAGTGTAATAAAAGTTTACTAAACAAGCAGATTTGGCTCCGATTTTTTTATTATTATTATTGTAATGTTCATATTTGGCTCTTTGGCTAATAAGTTTGCCAACCACTGAATTAGGCAAGCATTAGATGTTTGATAAGATGAAATTAAATATCTATGTGTGTATTCCACATCGCAACTAAACTCCTATAAAATCCACATCGCAACTAAACGTAACACTCAGAAGTAAACATAAACGTAAAACAACTCAAACCAATATTTTAACAGCTACAAATAACAAAGAAACTCAGACAGATTTTAACTTGTCTTCTGAAAAAACATTTAAAAACAGCTCAGTGCAGACCGAGAGCAACTGCCCTCAAATTAAAGTGAATAACAGCAGTGGTCAACTACGCAAGGAAAAAAATTTCACACCCACCCTCACCTCTCAACAAATGCAACTCTCTAATCACAGTGCACATACTCGTGTATTCACGGTACAAAATAATGATAGCATTGTTTCGTCAAAGCACAATATTTGCATAATAAGTAGCAACANAAAACTACATTAAAGAATAATAGTATACTAGGTATGAGCGTTAGGATATTTAATAAACTACCGAAGAAATTAAGAGACTTAGATGATTTTAATTTAAAAAAAAACCTAAAAGGTAATCTTATTAGTGAAAATTATTATCACGTGAATGATTTTCTTGGGGATGACATTGAAAATAAATGGATTTTTAATTATTAGTTGAATTATGGATGCATGAATGGTAAATTATATAATATTATAACTATGCACTGCACTAAAATTCGCATGTCAAATAATGACAAAGCATACACGCTGCTTTTAATTTATGTAATAACTCATTTTCACTATGCTTGGCGCATAAATGATTTCTTTCTTTCTTTCTTTCTATTATGATTAAACGTTCTAATCAAAATTTAAATAGATGATTTTCTTAAAGATGTAGTGAAATGATATCATTAATCATACCACCATACCGTCCATCAATCCTTGACCATACCACTATTTTATTCATTTCAGAATTTTCTGACGTGCAATTATGCGCTCCGATTTGCAGGATACAAAAGTTCTTCTGTTGCAACAGAGACTTCAATTTGAGAAAAAAATATAACTTTTCATTAGTAAATGAGAAATATAATCGGTTGGGGTGACATTAGTTTTATGTTGTCTTCGTGAACAGACTAGTATAGGTCCAATTGATGGCAAGTAGTTACCGTCGCTCATAGTAATGCCAGGGGAACAGATAATTAATAGCTTACTGCGTGAGGGGTAAGTGGTGCAAGGAGGTCGAGCACTCGTTGATAGAGTAAAGTATCCTTTAATGAACACCAATATGAAATCACGTTTCGGTTCGAAGGGTTGGGTAGCCGTTGTAACTATACTGAGATCTTAGAACTTATTTCTCGAGGTGGGTGGCGCATTTACGTTGTAGATGTCTATGGGCTCCAGTAACCACTTAACACCAGGTGGGCTGTGAGCTCGTCCATCCATCTAAGCAATAAAAAAAAAAAATAACATGTGTGCAATTCACACGTGGTAGAAGTGAAACCTTCCAAAATTAAAATACAATTATCCTAAACGTCTTAAGTTTTTGTAAAATTTTGTCATTAGTAAATAATTGTAAGGTAGCGCCCTCTGTGAATTGATATTTTAATTTCACGTATNAGTTACAACGGCTGCCCCACCCTTCAAACCGAAACGCATTACTGATTCACGGCAGAAATAGGCAGTGTGGTGGTACCCACCCGCGCGGACTCACAAGAGGTCCTACCACCAGTAATTACGCAAATTATAATTTTGCGGGTTTCATTTTTTATTACACGATGTTATTCCTTCACCGTGGAAGTCAATCGTGAACATTTGTTGAGTACGTATTTCATTTGAAAAATTGGTACCCGCCTGCGGGATTCGAACACTGGTGCATCGCTCAACACGAATGCACCGGACGTCTTATCCGTTAGGCCACGACGACTACAATCCGTTAGGCCACGACGACTACATCCGTTAGGCCACGACGACTACCGTTAGGCCACGACGACTACATATGTAAAATTTTGTCATTAGTAAATAATTGTAAGGTAGCGCCCTCTGTGAATTGATATTTTAATTTCACGTATAATCCTAAATTAAAATTCACTACAAGAGCTTTCATACACACGTTAGTATTAAAAAATCTCACAGATGGCGCTGTATTGAATAAATAGTATGTATATTTCTGTCCCATTCTTTGCTGGCTTCATCCTACACATTTTTGTATTTGTGTCTCTTACCTGTCGTTTTTTCCGTTGCACCCGGTTTGAAATCACAACGATTCTAAAGAAGTTTTCACTTCAAAAATCTCACAGATGGCGCTGTATTAAATAAATAGTATGTATATTTCTGTCTCATTCTTTGCTGGCTTCATCCTACACATTTTTGTATTTGTGTCTCTTACCTGTCGTTTTTTCCGTTGCATCCGGTTTGAAATCACAACGATTCTAAAGAAGTTTTCACTTCAAAAATAAAAAAATACAAAAAGTACAAAGAGAAAATATAAGCCAGTATTATGTATTTTTTAGTTAATGTAAATTTAGCTTTCTAATTAAGATAAAATTGCTTCAACTCTAGATATATATCTTATATTAACTATATTGTATATTGATGTTATGCTTATCCTCCTTCCCCTCCCTTCAGGTTTGAAGTAGGTTAAAAACTTTTAGACGCGCTTCGAGGTAATAAGATATAAATTAAACAGAACACGTTTACTTTAGCAATAGCTCTGTACGTTTTACGAGTATCTCAGACATAACATTTTCTCGGAAATAAAATGGATTTCGGTCACGGTTGAAAACAAAGTTAAGTTTGTATAATAACAGAGCGCACTGTTTGTTTCTGTACCTATTACTTTAGTAGCTTAAATAATTGTCATTTCGTACAGTACCTTACACTAAGTTGAAGATTACTGTCTTTGTTTTAGTTATTTAACTTTATAAACAGAACTCTAACAGTTTTGTTTTAAAGTTGTATGTATTTCTGTTCATCCCCAAGTACTTTGGTACAAATGTTGTGGCCGATTATTTATTTATTAGCACTAGTTTTTGCGTATTGGCCATACTGGAGATGGAAGAATCGAAGGCTGCTCCGATTGAGTGCTTCGATGCCAGGACCAAGAGCCCTGCCGATTATTGGAAATGGATTATTGGTTGTCGTTAACACAGGAGGTAAGTTTAATAAAACTATAGTTATTCTTTGCTATTAAATAATGCTTCCGGGCTCTTCAAGTCGATACCGCTTTTCACTTACCGTTTCACTATTCACTATTCACTTCTTTACCCGTAATGTAGCGTGAAGAATTTATCAAACTAGACCCACGTTTCCTCGGGACAATCCGATCCCATCTGACACTTCTATACTAATACTAATACTAATACTAATAATATTATAAAGAGGAAAGATTTGTTTGTTTGTTTGTTTCGAATAGGCTCCGAAACTACTGGACCGATTTGAAAAATTCTTTTTCCATTAGGAGCCGACATTGTCCCTGATGAACATAGGATACTTTTTTTATTGATTTTTTTATTTTATTTTTTTGGTTTCATGTGTGTTTTAATGTTTCCGAAGCGAAGCGAGGGCGGGTCGCTAGTAAATAAATAAATACCTTTATATTTCTTGCAACCAATAATAACAATTCGTATACTACATATGTGTATATAGAAATATATAATTTCTTGTTTTCTTTTACTTATTTGCAAGAACTTCTCCTCGAGTGAATCTATACCTAAAGCTTTTAAAGAAATTTTATTGGTCGGCCCATTGTACGCTTACCCACAATCCTGCTTATATCTGGTAGAAAGCACTCACCCGGCTTAACGGCGCGTTATACGTTGTACCATTCAATTCAGACTTTGTTTTGGGGTGGACGGCCTATTCACATACGTACCACATCGACTGAGAGATAATTTTTCTATATAAATAAAAAAAGAGGCAAACTATGACCAGAGGACCATCTCCAGGTGCCGCTGTGGAATTCTTTTTGCTAAGATAGGTGAACGATTTAACGGCCCACCTGTGTTAAGTGATGCCAGTGCCCATAGACATCTACAACGTAAATGTCGCCACCCACCTTGAGACATGAGTACTAAGGCTGCAATATGTCTGCAAAAGACACGGGGCTCGTTATCCTTGTAGTATACAGAAACTTGTCTAAAATATTATGTTCTTGAATGCACAGTAACATTTTTGTCGTGTAAACATTGGTTTTAGAGAAATTTCTAGAACTGGTCGAACAGCTATTCAGGACCTACGGGGATTATTGCAAGATCTGGTTGGGACCTGAACTAAACATTTGTGTCAAAAATCCTGATGACATACGGGTAAGGATTTTTACACTGTCGATCTGCTATCTTAAATATGAAGCCTTAATTATCTTGATTAATTATTTATTTTATTAAATTTTAAATCTTACCATTACCGTGTAAACAGTTAATTTTGTTCTTAACGTGTCCATCGACAATGCGGAGCGAAGCTGCTGCTTACAGAACTCTGCTTGAACCTCAAAAAAGGTTTTATTGTAATATTCGAACGCTACTTACGTTTAAAAAAAACTATTGTGTGTACTCTTTGATCCGAACTTGCCATACCTAGGTCATTTTAGTGAAGCACATACTTAAATACCCATACACTGAATCACCGCACGAAACTGGAATAGCTCTTTAGGCTGGCTACCAGTGAATAGGTAGGGAAAAAAACACATAATAACAATTTTTTATTTTAATTTTTTTTATTGCTTAGATGGGTGGACGAGCTCACAGCCCACCTGGTATTAAGTGGTTACTGGAGCTCATAGACATCTACAATGTAAATGCGCCAGCCACCTTGAGATACAAGTTCTAAGGTCTCAAGTATAGTAACGACGACTGCCCCACCCTTCAAACCGAAACGCATTACTGCTTCACGGCAGAAATAGGCAGGGTGGTGGTACCCACCCGCGCGGACTCACAAGAGGTCCAACCACCAGTAAAAGTCTACATAATTAAATAATTTTACATAATTTTACTTGTATTCATCTTAAATTGAGTACACAGGTGGATTTGTACATTTGATTTCAGTTAAAATTAAATTTTAGACTAAGCGAACTAAACATTTTCAGCTCCTATTAACTAGTAATAAAGTGAATCAGAAAGGTCCAGCCTATGAGATCATGAAGGCTGCGATTGGGCCGGGAATACTTACTGGAGGTAAGATAGTTATTTAACGTACTCTATTTCAGGAGAGTCAACGTATCAGACCAAAATAACATTTTAAAAAACCAATTACAGTAAAATATCAATTATCAATATTAAAATTTAATAATTTTTCACGTCAAATTAAAAAAACAAACAACAGCTTGATTTTAAGCCATTTCTTCTATTTTGGCCTCAAATGACGCACCTAGTACGAGCTCAGCAGAGTTTTTAAAAGTTTTCGCTGGGATTTTAAAATAGAAAAGACGTATGCTTGATGTTAATGGTAAAGATAACCTTTGTCCTAATACAGCCTTTTCCAAAGTGGGCGATAACGAAAAAAATGGGGGTGTTGTGTAGAGGCTTGGGAGGCGATTTGGCTTTAGATTAAAGATTTGGATTTATAATTTCATTTAGGAGGACTCTTAGATACCGACTGAGCTCTCGCTATAGTGGTTTTAAGTAGATGAAAAAAAAGGGGCGCTAAAAATAATTTATTTTCAAAGCGGGCAGTACACAAAATAAGTTTGGGAGCCCCTGTCCTTATACTATATGGCTTTAGGCTAGTAACAAGATGCTAAAATTTATTTTAGGTCCAACATGGAGAAATCATCGTAAAATTGTCACACCGTCATACAATAAGCGGGCCGTGAAACTGTATTCAGCTGTTTTTAACAGAGAAGCGGAAGTCTTGGCTAATTTGCTTCTAAAAAAGCAAAGCGGCGTCACATTTAACGTTTATTATGATGTTGTTGAAATCACAACGCAATGCGTTTGTCGTAAGTCCACAATATAATAAAGTTCTTTTTTCCCCGGTTTTTTTGAGTCCCTCAATAAAATTTTTAGCTATCGCAATTTACTAATGAAATATTTTCTAAAATAACATTCGTAGTTTATTATTAGGCAGATAGATTTATTTAAATACAGTTATATGATATGAAATACTGTTTTATAGGAGTACAAATATATGTCGCTGTTTTGAAAATGAAAAAGCCTTTGTTAAATAAAAATTGTGTTTCAAAATTCAAACAGTACACCGTTTAAACACATTATTATGTAGTAGCATTTTCTTTCGTTTTTTACGAGTCGTCGACACAATTTAAACCACTCTTACAGTATAATATTATCTCGTTTCTTATTATCCTATTATTATATTATATTATTCTTGACCTTTGAATACTTTAAGTGTCTTTTTTTAATTTTTTTATTTTCCTATGCTGATAGCCTTGAGAGGCTATTTCAGCTTCACCCTAACGTGTGTAGGTAAGCTCACGGGGCCCAAACCGGAGTGTTGCTAACACTGACCTTAGCAAGAGTAGTGCTTCGCAGAATCTACCACCGAATCGGGAACGCGACCCACTGATAAGATCCGGCGAGAAACTCAGTATGCTGTGTCTATGGGTTAATTCGCTCGTCGAGCCCTTCGTCGCAAGCGACAGGTTCGACCAGGACGGTGACCGGTGCTTGTGGTATCTAAAAGCACCGTTAATGGATCGGGAGGATCCGTAATGACGTGCTTTGGGCGACGTCGACTGTTTACCATTCGGTCTACAGGATCGGGTATGTAGTTTCCAGCGGCCAGGACAAGAGGGTTCTCATGTCGTGCCGCCTTCTCGAAATGGCGCAATTATGCCTACTGTAGACACTTATTGACAGAGTCGAGCTCCAGGTCATCGTGGAGATCCACGTTCCTCAGGAACCATGGTGCTCCGACGGCTATCCTGCAGAATCGGGATTGAATAACCTGAAGGCGCTTCAAGTTGGTGCGGGCCGCGTGAGCGAACACTACGCTTGCATACGTCATGACGGGGCGTATAAAACCCGCGACATTAAGTCGTAACTAACAGATGGTTTAAAAAAAACACTCAAATTTAGATTCCGTCTATAATTATTATTCGGTTAATCACTGTCAACAACAGGAGTCATTGTCAACAGTTAGATATATATTCCAGAAACATTGATTGGCCTGTCCAAGGATGATTCACGAAACGTGGACGGAATGAGTGACCTTATATTGGAAACGCAGAAGTAAGTTATAAAATTATGGTAACGTCTAAATTCTTTACCCTATTCCAAAATGAGATAAAGAATCTTCGCAAACCATTGCGCAGAAAACCACACTATCCAAATATTGGAAATAAATTTGTAGATCGCAAATAAGGGAAAAAGCCTTGTATTACTTAGGATTAGTGCCTCTTTGACACAACGAATATTAAAATATTATGGCCTTTTACTGGTGGTCGGTCGTCTTGTGAGTCCGCAAGGGTAGGTACCACCACCCTGCCTATTTCTGCCGCGAAGTAGTAATGTAGTTCGATTTGATGGAGCGGAGCAGCCGTTGTAACTATACTGAGACCTTAGAACTCATATCTCCTCCTCATCGCATCGTTTCCTCACCGCTGAGGGTGATTATATTGATCATCATGATTTTACTTCTGGTAATGTCTCTCCAGCGCCTCCGATCATTGGCTAGGGCCGATTTATCTATTCTTAAGTTAACGATGCATTAGGATCGCAACATTACAGTTGAGCCCTTGAGTTCGCCTATCCATCTTAGCTAAGCAATTCACAAATTACTGTACTTAATTGAGTTAACGTAATATCCATAGATCCTCTAACCTCCTGATAGCTTCGCAATGAGATGCTTCTATGAAGGTAAACAATAGCATTCCGTTTAATTTTTAGTCTCTACGAATTATTATTCACGAAGATGACTGTGTGGTGGCTACAAATTCCCTTCGTCTACTGGATAACGGGAAGAAAAGCGACAGAGAATGCTTACGTTAAGAAAATAGACAGATTAACTTCGGATTTCTTGAAGAAGAGACGTACAGCTTTGAAGGAAGGTAATGTTGATGAAGAGTCAATGGGTATAGTCGATAGATACATTGCATCCGGTGAGCTGACAGAACAAGAAATCAAATGGGAGACGATGACTTTGTTTACAACGGTAATTCTTCTTCTTTTTCTCTACCTTACCCCACTAGATGGGGTTGGCACCTCGAATTTTTCTACTCCATTCTCTTCTATCAGCCGTCATCTCAACACTCACTCCTCTCTCTCTCATACACACGTCATACACGTCATTTACACACTCCATCCATGTTTTCTTCGGGCGACCTCTTCCCCCTCTACCTTGCACTACCTTTTCCATACATCTCCTAGTCTAGAATAATTTTAAGTAATTTTTTTGTTTTCATAATTTGTTCATTGATCCGTTAGTTACAAACACAAAACCATTTATGACTCCTCATTTGACATCGGGTTGATTTGTTCTCTATAAATCGATACAATCGATTGCGATAAATACTGGTTGTTAAAATTAAAACTATTTTCACGGTTTAATCTGTCGCTTTTATCATTTCCGACATATCGTTTAACATTTCCGACATATCGTTTATCATTGACGATATATCGAACACTTTCCAGTTTTCGTGGTCGAACAGAGGACTTGCTGTCAATATTAATTCGCTACGAACCTACATATACGACAGATTAAATCGTAAAAGTAGATTTAATTTTGTCTGCGACTCGCGAAGACCGTAGGGATACATTTTTTAAATAGCTATAAGAGATATACTTAATTTGTTGTTAATGTGCTTATGTTCACGGTTCACTTAATGTTCTAAAATGTATTTGGAGACTTAAAAACTATCACTTTTTGTTTTCAGAGTCAAGAAGCTTCTGCAAAAATAACATCAGCTGTATTGTTATTTTTGGCGCACCTTCCTGACTGGCAGGTAACACATATAGTGGATTTAACAAAAAATTCTAAATAATGAATAAAATAATAGACAAAAAAATCTAAAAATAACGATTAGGTGATTAAATCACAAGATGAATCCTAAAAGATATTTTTATTGTTATTTAAACATCGATCAGATTGCCGTTGCCGATATCTTCAAGCAAAAAATTTACATTCTGTGGTTAGTTCGCCTTTAATAGCTACATCATCATCATCATCAGCCTGTATCTCTCCACTGCTGGATGTAGGCCTCTCCCATAGTCCGCCACAATGAACGATCCTCCGCCTTCCGCATCCAATCTCTCCCAGCATATCGCCGCAAGTCATCGGTTCAACGGGCAGGGGGACGCCCAACGCTGCGCTTACCGTTACGCGGTCTCCAGTCCAGAACACGTCTGCTCCATCGGCCATCGGTTCTGCGACACGTATGTCCGGCCCATTGCCACTTCAGCTTGCTAATCTTTAGGGCTATGTCGGTTACTTTGGTTCTTTGACGGATTTCATCATTTCTGACTCGATCCATCAAAGAAACTCCGAGCATACCCCTTTCCATAGCACGCTGGGCGACTTTGAACTTACGGACCAGACCTACGGTCAATGTCCACGTTTCAGCGTCATGACCGGCAGTATGCAAGCGTTGAAGACTTTTGTCTTTAGGCATTGCGGGATTGCTGAGTTTAAGATATGACGGAGTTTTCCATACGCAGCCCAGCCCAACTGTATGCGCTTAGCAGCTTCCTTCTCAAAGTTGGCCCTGCCTAGCTGAACAATTTGGCCTAGATAGGTGTATTCTGACACAACTTTGAGTACCGCGGATTCGACTATTACCGATCCAGGAATGATATGCTCGTTGAACATGTTCTTGGTTTTGTCCAGATTCATTCCCAGACCAACACGTCGTGACGCGGCATTGAGCTCACCCAGCATACAGCTGAGATCCTCCAGCGACTCTGCCATTATAACGATATCGTCTGCAAATCGGAGGTGTTAATAGCTACGTGGATATCATACGAGTTGTTGCTGTGTGCAGTTGCACTCAGGCAGACACGTTTCGTAAAATCTGGGCGGCAATTTTGAAAATTAAGAACTCTTCGGATTGTATTATAATAGCTGATTATCGTTGTATTCCATTTTTAAGGAAAGATCTCTATCATCATCATCTTTAACGAGCTCACAACCTCACTAAAGTCAAGCGGTTACCAGAGTCCATGGACAGCTATCGCTATCATTAGGAAAACTGCTATCCTATTTTATTAGTCTTAATTAGTGTAAACTTAGTAAAAATAAATGTTTTTCCAGGAGAAAGTTTACAAAGAAATTGTCGAGGTAATCGGTTCAGGACGAAATGATGTTACAACGGAGCATTTAAAGCATCTACATTATTTAGATATGGTGTATCAAGAGGCACTGAGGTATCTGTCAATAGCGGCTCTAATACAAAGAACTGTGGAGGAAGAAATTACAATTAACAATGGTAGGTAGTTAGACGAGTTAAACTTTTTATTAAGTTTGTCTAATTACGTGCTCAATCTTAGACGACGGGGCAACACAGTCGCCGTCGCTCTAAGCACGTTATTTCGGATCCTCCCGATCCATACTCGGTGTTTTTAGGCATTCCAATAACCGGTCACAGTTTTCATCGAACCCGTCGATTGCGTCCAAAGAATTCGACGTGCAACTTAACTCATAGATACAACCCACTGAGTGTCTCGCCGGATCTTCTCAGTAGGTCGCGATTCCGATTCGTTAGATTCACCAAAGCACTGCTCTGGCTAGGGTAGATGTTAGCAGTCTCTCAGGGTGAGTACCGTGAGCCACCTACACATCCGGTGAAGCCGGAATAGCCTTTCGAGGCTACTCGTCGTAGGAAGTTAAAAAAAAATCATCGCGCTCTAGCGAGCGTTTCTCAGTTTATTAAATACATATTTTATCAAATATTGTGTTTACTTCATTACAATGGCGTGTAATACATGCATGACAGCTAATAGCGTAGCCGAACCTAGTTTTTGAGTTAACGCCCTAAAAAACTGTCGTGACGGCTCATTTTAAGATCGGGATTGTCTTAGAATCATCACGTGTCAAGAATTCAGATCTACATGTATCGTAATCAATCATAATATCAGAATTGTCTAATTTGATAATAAAAACTTATGTATAATGATTTCAGGAAAATTCACGCTTCCAATCGGCACGACATTAGTGATACCTATACACGACCTGCACAGAGACCCGAGGTATTGGGACGAGCCTTTGAAAGTAAAGCCAGAGAGATTCCTCCCTGAAAATGTTAAGAAGAGAAGCCCTAATGTTTTTATTCCGTTCAGTTTGGGGGCGATGGACTGCTTAGGTCAGTATAAGCTCTGTGTAAAAGATTACTACGATATCCTTAATACTTGTCTAATTCAAGATACTATATTAAAACAGCTTCCCGACCCTTCAAGAGGCAAGGGATTACTGCTACAGCAGCATTAAGTAGGGTGGTGATACCTTACTGTGCGGGCTCACACACAAGACGCCTTATCAACAGTAAATTCTCATTTACATACGCATAACTGCTATCCCACTTTTTTTTGTTATTGCATGGATGGGTGGACGAGCTCACGGCTCAGCTGGTGGTAATTACGGGATAGGAATCTACAACGTAAATGCCGCCTCCCACCTCGAGACCCAAGTTCAGTAAGGTCTCAATATTTACAGTACAACGGCTGCTCCACCCGTCAAACCGAAAAACATTACTGCTTCACGGCAGAAATAGGCAGGGCGGTGGTATCTACCCGTGCGGACTCACAAGACGTCCTACCATCAGTAATTACGCAAATCATAATTTTGTGGGTTCGATTCGTTCGGACCGTAGAAGAAATCGTGAACATTTTTTAAATACGTATTATTTTTTGGAAAAAATTGCATCTGCCTGCCGGATTCGAACACAGTTGGAGCGCTTGATACGAATGCACCGGACGTTTTGTCCTTTAGGGCATGACGACTTCAAACTGAAAATCATGAATACCAAAAAGTGGGTGGTATCGACTCATGTGAGCTCACCAAACGCATTATTAATATAAATACAAAAAATACTATTTCATCACCAGGTCGAGTGTACGCAGAGCCGTTGATCAAAACGCTGGTAGTGTGGGCAGTGCGCGAAGTTCAGCTAGAAGCGGAGGGTTGCATCGAAGACCTGAAACTACACGTCGCTATATCAGTGAAGTTCGCCAACGGATACAACTTAAAAGTCAAGCCAAGGATCTAAATATATCATTTCTAAGATCAAATTGTTTCATTGTCGTAGATTTCGAAAACAAACCAGTTTTACTTTAATTTACCTCCATAAACAACGCGATAACAACCGTCAAATGAACCCTCCCTTGTTTTAGGAAACCATAAGATAACATTAAATGATACAAAGCTCCTTTGTACATTACTAACACACCATTATTTAAGCATCCTCCGTGTCGTTCACTTGCTTTTTAAAAAGCCTCTCGCCCCTGTCCGCTACCTAACTCGTGTATTGACTTTTTTTTTTTTACGTACGCTGATGGTCTAGAGAGACCGTATCAGCGTAACCTTAACTAGTAGGTGAGCTTACGGGGCTCAAACCTGACGATGTTGCTAACACTAACCTCAGCAAGAGCCGTGCTACGCAGGGTCTACCATCGGATCGGAAATACGACCCACTGAGAAGATCCGGCGAGAAACTCGGTGGGTTGTGTCTGTGGGCTAATTTACTCGTCGAGCCTTTCGTCGCAAGCGACGGGTTCGACGAGAACGATGAGCGGTGCTTGAGGTACCTAAAATCACCGTTAGTGGATCGGGAGGATCCGAAATGACGTGTGTCGTTTCATTTTTAATAGACTTCAAAAGAGAAAGTATTTAATAATTTTTTTAATGTTGTGTGTATCTAAACGAGGATTACGGGGATTGATTAGCGGTAGGCAGTAACTTGGCTGTAGCCCTAGTCTTGCTCTCGTCCATGAGCGATGTTAACCATCCATCACCAGGTGGGTCGTATGCTTATCTGTCTAAATACACAATAAACAAATACACCAAATATATACAACTGATTTATGATGAAAAATAAACTATAGAGGATAGATAATGTTATTGTCATCTACAGGAGCAATGAGAAACTAATCGAAGCGAAGCCATCTAGTGGCCGACGCCCGTAAGCATTTTTGTTGAGTGCTTGTGTTGCTTATCTATAACTAATTTATATGTATTATTTATGGTCGTGACAATTCACTATGGAACGCTACCCACTTGCCCGGCGGTACCATCGGCCCTTATTTCTTCGAAGATGCACAGGGAGCCGCGCTCACAGTCAGTGGCGACCAATAACGGACGGGGAAAACGGATGGTATGGATCTCACAAATATGCGGTTAGCAGGACGGTGCCACATGTCATGCAGCACGGGAAACATTACATTTGTAACTATACTGAGATCTTGGAATTTATATCTCAAGGTGGGTGGCGCATTTACGTAGTAAATGTCTATGGGCTCCAGTAACCACTTAACACCAGGTGAGCTGTGAGCTCGTCCATTCATCTAAGCAATAAAAAAAAAAATTATTGGGTGAGAAATTCGAAGGCTTCATCATCTCGCGTGGTGGCGACATCAACTGACCACCGAGATCGTGTGACTTCACACCGCTCGACTACTTTCTGTGGGGCTACGTGGAATCTCTAGTCTACGCAGACAAACCACAGTATATTGCCCCTGAAGGCAAACATAACTCGCGCTCTTCGTGAAATTGAGCCCTATTTAAGCGAAGATGTCATACAAAATTGGTCCATCAAGATACACCACCTACAGACCTATAGTCGCGGCGGCCATTTGGATGAAATTACTAACATATTCCATACATAATGTCATCGACTACCCTCTAAAATAAAATAAAAATTGTGGCACTTAAACAGGTTTCTTATTCAATTTTTAAGTTCGAGGACTCTTTATTATAAACTCTTTACCTTTACTTTGTCCACGAACTCTGATAATTGCTTAATTAATATCAAGTGGGCCGTGATTTTATTTACCCATTATGGTCAAAAATTTAATTAAAACATCATTTTTGCCAAAGTTCGCTCGAGCATCCGAAAACTAGATAATTCTAAATAATTATTGATTCAGCATTCTACGGTTGTTGTGATAATACTTTTTATAAACCAAATATTATCTTCTTCTTCTACATATATAAAAATGAATTGCTGTTCGTTAGTCTCGCTAAAACTCGAGAACGGCTGGACCGATTTGGCTAATTTTGGTCTTGAATTATTTGTGGAAGTCCAGAGCAGGTTTAAAAGGTGAATAAATATGAAAATTGTCGGATTTAAATAAAAATAACAATTTTTCCCTTTCATGTATTCCCCGTCGCGCGGAGGGATACCTTTGTTTTGCTTTAAGTTTATTTTATACAAAAGTTTAGGTCTTTTATTTATCGATTGTGGAACTACAAAGTCTGCCGGGTCAGCTAGTAATGTTATAAAGGTGAAATTGTGTTTGTTTGTCTTGCTTTCAGTTCGAAACGAAGCAACGAATTAATATACAAATTGTTTGAAAGTGGCAGTCTTAGACAAGGAGAGTGACATAGACTGTCTTTTATCCCGAAAAACATCTCATTCCTACGGGAAGCTGTTTTGTTATCTTTAGAAAAATTACGTGATACTCTAGAAATATTAATTTAAGTTTTTCCTGACCAAGCTGGCGAAGCCGCGCGTGAGAGCTCCAATAGAATTCGTCGACAATTGGAAACAAGTTGATATGAAAAAAAAAGCTATCCATATATTAAAGCTGACACTCATTATTTCTCAGGTATCTATTGCGCAGTATATATGCACTACCACGTACTTATTGTGTCTTACATTAACATTCAACAGCATCACGTAACATACATTAAAGTCTAGTTAAACGTATTTCTCATTGTCAATCTTACAAATACATTTACTTTTGGTAGTATACGAACTGCTTTTGTGGTGCAATCTTGTGTTGCTACGTAAGGTAAAATACTTTTTTTGAATCATTTTATCAGGTAAATAAAAATAAAACGTAAGTAGCAATCCGAACTAATAATAAATTTTATACTTTTTGTTAATCTTTTGATGCTGGTCAGGATTTTAGAGCTATGTTAAAAAATATTTTTACTCTCATCGGTTCCTTGATTCGAGGGAAAATTTTCAAGTCAATCGGACATCTTGAAGTTGGTAATAACGAGTTGAAAATTCCTTTACGTACAAACAAACATACCAAGCTATTAAAGCGTGTTAAAAAATAAAGCGTGTTAAAAACCATCGGAACTTTCGTGATTATATTTTAATACGGGTAAAAGAGAACTGCTCAAAATCCTGAAACGATATTGATAATGATTGGACAATATTAGTAGAAAACATTGTTTTTGGGATCCCTTAATTCAAACCGAAGAGGTTACGGACATCCACCTTTGAACCTGGGTTGTGGATCGATTTTTATGCTGTCCAAATTTACTGTCACACTTGTCTTTTTTTTCAGCAATGCTTTTTATATCCTGTAAATAAATAATTGAATAATAGAATTGATATATGAATAATTTTCAAAGATTTTTTTTTCTCCAACTCAGAATGATCTCGTACATCATCCTCATTATTATCGGGTTTGCCTTGATGTGGTCGGGATGGAAGCAAAAAAACAAAAAGTTTATGGAAATGGCTAATCAATTTCCTGGACCGCAAGCTCTCCCATTTATTGGAAATGCTTTGCGCTTCATGTGTCAACCTGAAGGTATGTAAACTTGGTATTTATAGCTATGCATATCGTGTATTCTGTTACGCAGACCAATTACTACGGATTATGTACAGTTATGTCAAGTTCTCTTAGCAAGGTAAAGGAGAGAAAAATGTTAGGCAGCTTAAAAATAAATAATTTAAAATTCTAAAGTAATGGCTCTTACAACAAGGGAAGATATTTTTTTCCAGTAAAGAATTGATTTCTAATTTTTGCATTGCATTTGCATATTGATCAAATCTCTCATGATGTCGGTACTTTTTCTGGGCGAAGGTCATTTTGCCGCAACGAGACAGAACGTGGGAGAAGCAAGACGTTGGCAGATCCGTGCCGAAAGGGAATGGCTCCCAGTTTCACGCTCCGTCCCCTCCTTCTGCGAGATGCTGGACTCGCAGAAGTCGAGCATTGCCTTTCAGGGCTCATAGTCGTCGGCAGCAGCAAGTCCAGTCTGCGCGACGAGGATATGACCGGACCCCCCCAATTACTTGCACTTAATATTTGACAAACATATTCACTAGGAACCTTTTGTTGTTCCACTGTTTTTTTTTTAGAATTAATTTCGGTAATCAAAGAGCTGCTTCAAGTCTACGGGGAAGCATCCAGATTCTGGCTGGGACCCAATTTAAACGTCGTAATTAACAACCCTGATGATTTGAAGGTTTGTAAACAGCAATCGTTTTATGAATTTTATTTAAAGTAAATGAAATTTTTGTAGTAATTAAACCAAAGTCAAAATTGCATAAGTTCAATTAATACAAACAGTTTAGCCTACTGAATTTCTCGCCGGATCTTCTCAGTGGGTCGCGTTTTCGATCCGGTGGTAGATTCTGCGAAGCACCCCTCTTGCTAGGGCCAGTGTTAGCAACACTCCCGGTTTGAGACTGGTGAGCTCACCTACACGTCAAGGAGAAGCTGAAATAGCCTCTGAAGGCTATCAGCATAGGTACGAAAAAAAAACACTGCTATACTGCAATTGAAGTTCTTTGAAAAGTCCTTTTTATAGATACAGATACGAACGAATGAAAATGTTCAACTGTCATTTTAATATCACTCTTTGTAAATACATTCACAATTTTAATTTCTTCCATAGATTTTACTGTCAAGCTCCAAAACGAGTATCAAGGGTCCTCAATACAAATATATGGCTGATATACTCGGGAGTGGAATTCTAAGCGGTTCCGGTATGTTGCATTTGCTCAAATTTTCTAAGCATTTTTAATTTGAATATTCATTGCCTATTTCACCTTGGAATGTATATTTTCTATTTCCGATTGCTAAATCCGTAAAAGTCCTGATATATGGCCTACGGACATTGAACCTTACTTTTAATTATAAAGATTTAATTATAAAGATTCAGCGTAAATTTTTAATGGTAACTGACATAGCCCTAATGATTGCGACGTTGAAGTGGCAGTGGGTAGGACACATTGCTCGTAGAACGGATGGCCGTTGGGGCCAGAAAGTTCTTGAGTGACGACCGCGTACCGGAAGACGTAGCGTGGGTAGGCCTCCCACAAGATGGACCGACGATCTATCGCGGTTCGCGGGGATCCACTGGATGCAGCGCAGGACCGGTCTTTGTGGCGAGGCTTGGGGTAGGTCTATGTCCAACAGTGGACGTCTGTGGGCTGATAAGAAGAAGCGTATTCTGTTCATCTTCTACCATTCTGGGCTACAATTTATTCATTTACATTTAACAATAGACGGCTCATTTGGTATTAAGCGGTTATAGGAGTCTATAAATATTGCAAATAAATGCTGCCCCTTACCTTGACATAGGAAGGTTGAAGTCTGAATTGGATTGTACAAAGTTTACTCCTCCTTTGAAGCCGGAGTTCAAGATTTCTCCGCGGCAGAAACAGATACGATGTTAGTCATTAACTTTACTAAGCTTATTGTATGTTCTCGATCAAAAGCCTAAGACAGTCAGCCTAAGTCTACTGGTGGTAGGACCTCTTGTGAGTCCGCGCGGGTAGGTACCACCACCCTGCCTATTTCTGCCGTGAAGCAGTAATGCGTTTCGGTTTGAAGGGTGGGGCAGCCGTTGTAACTATACTGAGATCTTAGAACTCATATCTCAAGATGGGTGGCGCATTTACGTTGTAGATGTCTATGGACTCCAGTAACCACTTTATACCAGGTGGGCTGTGAGCTCGTCCAAGCATCTAAGCAATAAAAAAAAGACAAATCGTAAACATTTGTAATGTTGTGACGACCTCATCCACTCACCAGATGACCTGTTTATTGGTTTGCAACCAATAATATCGTAATTACTCACAGGTGTGACTTGGCGGAAACATAGAAAAATAGCAACACCAAATTACGGGAAAAAAGTTATAGATAACTACGAAAAAATCTTTAATACTGAAGTGCATCTCCTATTGAAGAAATTGCGGAATATTCCAAGCGAACAAGAGTTTGATATTTATAGGAAAATCGTACAGACGACGAGCTATTGTGTTTGCCGTAAGTATTCAGGGTGCAAGGGAATTGTTCGAGATGATACCGGTATCTCGTTTTTACCATCGCACCGCCCGTCACCGGAGAAGAGTTCATCCATACTACCTGGAGCCACTGCGGTCATCCACAGTGCGTTTCCAGAGGTCTTTTTTGCCACGTACCATCCGGCTATGGAATGAGCTCCCCTCCACGGTGTTTCCCGAGCGCAATTACATGTCCTTCTTCAAACGAGGCTTGTGGAGAGTATTACGCGGTAGGCAGCGGCTTGGCTCTGCCCCTGGCATTGCTGAAGTCCATGGGCGACGGCAACCACTCACCATCAGGTGCTCGTCTGCCTTCTTTCTTTCTTTCTGGTCGTTCCCTCAATGCTGAGGATCGTGACTGTATGTCAATCTTCTCCACTCGGTCCGGTTCTGCGCCATATGTACCGCTCCCCATATCTGGCCTCCAGTCACCTCCTTGAGTTGGTCAACCCATCTAGCTGGCGCTCTTCCTCTAGTGCGCTTCCCCTCCATCTGTCCGAGAATTGTGAGTTTCTCCAGGCTGTGCAATGAGGATCGCATTATGTGCCCAAAGAAACTCTGGATCCTTTCCTGGCACATAGTCAGCAGGCGCTTGGTGACCTTCAGCTCTTCGAGGATGGAGACAAGGGCAATAAAAAAAAAAACTCGAAGTCGAACATGCAATCTAATTAGCTTATTCATTACGTAAAAACATAAAATTAATATCTTCTAGTAAGATAATTATAATCTAAACAACATTAATATTGCAGCAAAAAGCAAAAAAAAGATTACGACCCGTTTGAGGTTCAATTTATCATCGCTTCGTGAATCGGTTTTATAATCTTAAATTTTAATTAAAAATATGTAATTGTACTCGTATATTTTATGCAAGTTGACATGGACCTCGTTCGTGCTGCGATAGACGACTGGCCGCGCAGATTGAAGGCCTGTATTCAAAATCACGGAGGTCATTTTGAATAAACTTTAGTGTCATAAGAATCTATGTTTATTGTATTGTTATTCCCCGAGCGCAATGACATGTCCATGTATTTCGAGGCTTGTGGAGAGTATTAAGCGGTAGGCAGCGGCTTGGCTCTGCCCCTGGCATTGCTGAAGTCCATGGGCGACGGTAACCACTCACCATCAGGTGGGCCGTATGCCCGTCTGCCTACAAAGGCAATAAAAAAAATAAAATAAAAAAAAAATGTTTTGTTAAGTTCATTTTGGTATATGAATGGTTACATAATGAATAAACTTGTTTCAATTATTTTACATTAAACATGTGACAGAATTTATGACCTGACTAGGTACAAATTTTCTACATTGATCCTCACATAAATATCATTGATTAATAATTTATTCTTTGCCGACGCTGAGGATGCCTATATCCAACAGTGGACGTCACTAGGCTAATAATAATGATGTTAAAAACGAACTCGTTTTTTTCGTATCCCCAAGTTATTTTTTTCCTGTAAGTCAAGACATTTCATTCGACGATTTCCGTTTTTTTCCGCTGAAACTTGCTGAAGCGGCTTGATCTCAACCGTCGACCAAGCCATATCTATATCCAATGTCAATAAACATAAACAACGTTTTTAATCAGCGGCTGCAAAGGATAAAATGGGTTTTGTATCCATGATTATTAAATATAATACCCATTGCTTTCGATGTCAATAAAAACACACACAAACTATGCTTCCATACATAAATAAGATAGGCATAAGACTGCGCCAAAACCACTTCCTCCTCCTTGCGTCGATAATCCTCAGTGCTGAGGGTCGTGGCCTCCTCTAATAACTTTCTCCTGTATTATCCTGCGCCATTCCTGCCTGTCCTCGGCTGTGTGGATAGCAACGTGGACTGAAGTATTGAGAGTGGAGTGTATCTGGTCCGACCAGCGCATTGGACTTCTGCCTCTGGGTCTTCTTCCGTATACCTTGCCTGTTACCAGCAGCTTTACCACTTAAGTATGCGTGAAAGCAAAATTACCTATCCACAAGTGACTTGGCTTGCTAATTACGCCATATAAACCTTGGACTACTTACCACGTTTCTCCGTTTTCCTAAATTAAATTAAACCTTATTTTATCTACACAGAAACCTTGTTAAACTTGAGTAAGGAACAAGTTACTGAAATACCTCATCTCCAAGAAATCATTGATTGCACACCAAGGTAATAAAACTCTTTTTCTCGACATCACTAATTATTCGTATTAGTATTGTGCAAACTAAGCCTTATGGAAAACGATCCCGAGGCTACCAGACTGTTGGTAGGAACATAATAGTAGTTCGTGTCATGTTGCTGTGAGATCTTTTAACATTATGGAGCCAAGGGCATCTTGGACGTTCGACCAGACGTTTTCCGCTCTGACAAAACGAGTGCATTCTATTCCGTAGACTGGTTCTCTATTCTCATCAGGTAACTGGGCCAGAGCAATCTAGAGGCTCACAAAAAAATCTCTGTTTTGTACCCTTATCGTTTCTTTTTTTTTATTGCTTAGATTGGTGGACGAGCTCACAGCCCATCTGCTGTTAAGTGGTTACTGGAGCCCATAGACATTTATAACATAAATGCGCCACTCACCTTGACATATAAGTTCTAAGGTTTCAGTATAGTTACAACGGCTGCCCCACCCTTCAAACCGAAACGCATTACTGCTTCACGGCGGAAATAGGCAGGGTGGTGATACCTACCCGTGCGGACTCACAAGAGGTCCTACTACCAGTAATTACGCAAATTATAATTTTGCGGGTTTGATTTTTATTACATGATGTTATTCCTTCACCGTGGAAGTCAATCGTGAACATTTGTTGAATACGTATTTCATTAGAGAAATTTATCTTTATAATTAAGCAATTTCCAGAAACTACGATATAGTTTTCGACAGAATGATAAAATGGTACCTACAAATCGACCCCGTGTTTTGGATGACTAAATCTTATCAAGATCAAAAGCATTTCGTCGCGCTCATAACGGAATTCAGTAAAGCGATCATTGAAAATAGAAAAAGGAAAATCAATAAAATATACCTTAATAACGAAGAATCAATAAACAGACAGTTGGGTGTGATAGATAGATTCATATTGTCTGAAGAGTTAACACAAGAGGAACTGATCAAGGAAACTTTTACGATATTTACTTCTGTGAGTATTCTATGACAATATTATGTATTTAGTATACATATAGCCATCTAATTTAATAGTTCAATAAAAATGTGTTCTGTGGTCACTGGCATGGTCGCAGATGAACTCAGAACTCGATTTCGATAAAGGCCTTAGTGTGTACTTTGCAATATTAATATTATCGGCTTCCGAATGCTCATATTTGTGTTTAACTACAAAATGTACCTTAAATACGCTGTTGTTTTCAAGTTTTTGCGACGTGTGCTTAGGTTACATTTCGCACTTTGTTGGCGGGAATTTAGTGATCAGATTCGACAAAGTGTGTTCTATATGTAAACGACGAGAATCCAGGAGATATTCGTTTGTTTCAGAGTCAAGAAGCAACAGCAAAGATTTCTTCTTTCGTTTTGTTGATGATGGCTTATCATCCTAAATCTCAGGTAAGTTACTAAAAGCAATTAGTAATTTGCTCGAGACAGTAGAGTCAATCGAAGTCGCAATTATATTGTATCAAACCTTTTTCACCGTTCAAACCGAAATGTATAATTCGCGGCAGAAATTGGGAGCATTGTGGTACCTACCTGTGTGAGCTTACAATATGCCTTACCGCCAGTGTATTCCTGTTAAAGATCGCGGTATGCTGGTGCGAACACATTGTGGCTTAACGGATAAGACGCCCGGTTCATTCGTATCGAGCGATGTACCGGTGTTCCAATCCGGTAGGGCTGTTCCAATTTTTCTAATGAAATACGTACCTAACAATTTTTCACGATTGACTTCCACAATGAAGAAATAATATCGTGTAATAAAAATTACCTGCTCGCCAAATTACCAAGCCCGCAAAATTTTAATTTGCGTAATTACTGGTGGTAGGATGTCTTGAGTCCGTACCGGTAGGTATCACCACCCCGCCTATTTTTACCGTGAAGCAGTAATGTGTTTCGGTTTGAATGGTGGGGCAGCCTTGTCCTGTTAAAAGTGAGACCTTACAACTCGTATCTCGAAGTGGGTGGCGTTGTAGATTGACGTTGTAGATGCCTATGGGCACATAACACTAGGTGGACCGTGAGCTCGTCCACTCATCTAAGTAATAAAAACAATACTCAGAATCAGTGGACGCTTCAGCGCATTCCTTAGTCGCCTGATACGACTGGAAGATATGAGATAGTGGTCTTCTATAGACTGACAGACTGATAGACTAATACAAATCAGCCAATAAAATAAACTATTCCAGGAAAAGCTCTACGAAGAAATTACTAAAATAATCGGTGATAAAGACAGATGTGTTACGAACGAAGATTTCAAACAAATGCCCTACTTTGATATGGTCTTCAAGGAAGTTTTACGTCTTTTTCCAATTGGTAGCATACTGCAAAGGACTATTAATGAAAATATTCGGATAAGTAAGCTGTTACAATAATGTTTACAACTTTAATACAGGGACTAGAACGTCTTGGTCACGCTCCGCTGTGATTATTGCTGGTTTTATGAAAATTATTGATGTCTTGACACAGTACGTTCCGCGCGCCGTGAGAATACTGCATTTTAATAACTAGAGACAAGTTGTATGTGGTCATCTGGTACCAAAATGAGACAAAATGGGACCCAGGGCCTGTTATACATACTTAAATACGATTGAATACAAACATATATAGTTATTAGACACCAATACAAAGGGCATACAAACCTGTTGATCACACTAATGTTTACCCGATGTCGGAATCGAACCCCACGACCCATAACAGTTAGGGGCGCTAACACGACCGCGCGCTGTGTCAGTAATTTGACGGAATCTTTACATGACAGCTTCGATCAATAATAGTACTATTATTGATCGAAGGTGGCATAAGTTCCCTTTATCGATTCTTCTAACAGTTAAAATGCTTAATTAAATTGTGGGTAAATCGTGTTATGGTGCCACATACCTACCTACCTACCTATAGCTTACCTATACCTACCTTACTATAGCTATAATACCTCACGAACTAATCCAACGGAATAAATGTTTTTAGTTGAGAGCGATATTGAATACCTTCGTTTCACTATTTATTCATGAATGGCCACGTGCAAAAACATAATATATGTATCTCACAAAATCAAATAACTTAACTAGCCACTAATAGACAATCCCACACGTGTATAAAAATAAATAAAAATATAAACGAGTCGTAGACGTAATTAAAACGACTTTGATGGTTTATTTTAGTATTTTTTATTGTAATATTTCCGAGGTTTCGACAGTGGTCCGTGTCCATGAAAATTTTAAAGTATTAGAAACATTGGAAATAATAATTTAATGACTGTAAAAATACGCGAAATTAGCTCGTAATGGTAGTTGAAACATTAGTTCTTTTTGTTGAAATAATACTCCGGAATAAAATATGTAACGGTTTAATGCAAATAGTAAAAAAAAGAAACACGCTAGGAAGAGGAAAGAAGGTGGCGTCACACGTGAGCAAAATGTGAACCATTTTTTTTGACATTACAGATAAAATAAATTATGTTTACAATTCTCCAACACTTTTTATTGTCTTCGTGGAAGGCTTGCAATGAAGAATTTACTTATGTTAATTATAAAATTAAAATCAAGTTTAATATTTACTTCCTTGACAGGTTCTGGGACACTACCAGCAGGGTGTTCCTTGGTAGCACCGATATATCATTTGCATCGCGACTCTCGTTTCTGGACTAGGCCCGACGATTTCGATCCCGAGAGATTCAATCCAGTTAATACGAAGTTGAGACAACCGAACTGCTATATTCCTTTTAGTTTAGGACCCATGGACTGTTTGGGTAAAACTATATTTATATATTAATTATATCTCTGTAATTGTTGTTCGAAGAAGTAGCATTTTTTGCATATGAGCAGTGTGCTTAGTACGAGTTTTTTAACGTTCTCGATAGCGTAAAAGTTAGCTCATATTTACATTGTATGGAGTGGGATCGTTTGCCTACGTTTGCCTTTAGGGGCGTTGTTCCAACTGCATACAAAATCGCGTTAAATTTTACGCTATCGAGAACGTTAAAAAACTCGCACTAAGCACACAGGTGGCTCATAATATCAAAACGTGAAGTGCCTTTAAGCGTAAACTGTGCCCTCAAACCGGAAAACATGATATGACAGACATAGATGGGATTGCAGTACCTACACAATTCACAATGTGCCCTACCCCTTACTTAGATTTCCATATAAAAAAAATATTCTTTGCAGCTGAAATAAAAAATCACTTATTTGTTCATTCTGAAGATTTTTAGAATATTTAAAATGCAATGTCAACGAAAAATTGGCATTATTATTATTATATATTTTTTGAAGTGAAACTTCTTTATCGGCGTTGGAAAAAAATTTACCGTCACATTTTTCGGTTACGCGTCACATTTTTCCGTTACGCGCCATCTTTTTTGTATTCATGTCTATGATAATAAAATCCTTTTGTTTAAACTTTATCTAATTTAACTTTATTTAACCAATTTCTAGAAAGTTGCATGTAGATCATTTTTCGAAAAATAAGGCCATAAAGAAGTTTCACTTCTTACGTGTGTACACTAGTACACGCACAAATTTTTTTGAAGTGAAACTTCTTTATCGGCGTTGGAAAAAAATTTACCGTCACATTTTTCGGTTACGCGTCACATTTTTCCGTTACGCGCCATCTTTTTTGTATTCATGTCTATGATAATAAAATCCTTTTGTTTAAACTTTATCTAATTTAACTTTATTTAACCAATTTCTAGAAAGTTGCATGTAGATCATTTTTCGAAAAATAAGGCCATAAAGAAGTTTCACTTCTTACGTGTGTACACTAGTACACGCACACATTTTTTTTTTTATTGCTTAGATTGGGACGAGCTCACATCCCACCTGGTGTTAAGTGGTTACTGGAGCCCATAGATATCTACAACGTAAATGCACCACCCACCTTGAGATATAAGTTCTAAGGTTTCAAGTATAGTTATAACGGCTGCCCCACCCTTCAAACCGAAACGCATTACTGCTTCACGGCAGATTTAGGCAGGGTGGTGGTACCTATCCGCGCGGACTCACAAGAGGTCCTACCACCACGAATTACGCAAATTATAATTTTGCGGGTTTGATTTTTATTACACGATGTTATTCCGTCACCGTGGAAGTCAGTCGTGAGCATTTGTTATGTACGTATTTCATTAGAAAAATTGGTACCCGCCTGAGATTCGAAGACTGGTGCATCGCTCAATACGAATGCACCAGACGTCTTATCTTTTAGGCCACGACGACTTTATATCAGCTGCATTATAGCTAAAGTTATGTTTATCTATTTTCTAGGAAGATACTTCGGTACTAGGTTAGTAAAAATGATTTGCGTTCGAGTACTAAGAGAGTTCGAAGTGACAACATCCAGAACATACAAGGATCTCAAACTATCGATAGCTATATCTGTGTCTCCATTGGATGGGTTCCCAGTTAAATTGCATCCCAGGAAAATTAAAGAGAAACAGTAATCTGGTAAAATGGTATAATTACTAAAAATTGTAATCAATTTTTAAGAAATGGGATTTCAGAATAAAATATTAAAATTTAACAGTATTTCTTTAAGTTAACACCATTAAACCAAGTCGGCTAGACTTAACCTAATAGGTGTAAGGCTCTAATAAAGAATTAAAAAAAAACGGTTTAATTTCGTGTGTATTATTTACTGGTGTTATTAGTCGAATTTTACCATCGCACCGCCTGTCACCAGAATAAAATTCATCCATAATAACTGGATCCACTGCGTTCGTCTACAGTGTGTTTCCTGTGTTCTATTTGGCCACGTACCATCCGGCTTTGTAATGAGGTTCCCTCTACGGTGATTCCCGAGCGCTATGGTAATATGTCCTTCTTCAAACAAGAATCGTGGAGAATACATAACGGTAGGCAGCGGTTGGTTGGTCTGGCTGTGCCCCGATTTGTGAATTAAATTAATGTTTTTAAAATGTCAATGTCAAGAATACACATTGTCAAATGACAAAAGTTCACGACTGATTTTGACTTGAGAGATACAGTAAATAATAGGTTATTTTATTACCTACTTCGGAATTTGGCACAATAACCACTTTTAGAAATCTACTTCCACTATTCGAACGAAATCAATGATATAGAATAAAAATTTACTGCAATGGGCTCACTTTCTAGATTTCATAAAATAGCCCTCATCAGCTTAGGTGCTGTAGGTGGTGGTTTAGCGTACTATCAGATAAACAGCGGGAAAAATGAGAAGAAATACGGTGCTTATAATTCATGGACTACAAATTTTACTCCAAGCGTGAAATGGGACAAGAACTGGGACCAGTAAGTAATTAGAAACTTTTTTATTAATACTTTTAAACGAATAGTGTCTGATACCATATCATACATACATTTACGGCGGATAGTAGCTGTAGAGTGTTATTACATAGGTAGTTAACATTCATTAGTGGCCGTAACTGGATTTTATTCGGTTAATATTCTCATGGCCTCCTAAAGAAAGGTTATTCATTATTTGAGTTATTTAAGTATACTTAATTTTCGTTAAAAAAAATTCGCAAGTCATATATGTCATTGAATAGCATTGGAAGAAACAACAACAAGAGTGTATCATTGGCAAGTAGGTACAAACATAATAGTATCTAAATTCACTTTGCTCTGTATATATTTTTAATGTTTCGAGAATAAGCTAAACTATAATAGATGATTTTGAATTAATATATAAGCATAGGAATATTTTATGCTGTTCCCCCTTCCATTGTCACATGATTGATATAATCTGACCTGTTTAAAATAACCACAATGAAGAGCTTAAAATAACTAATGATTCAGTTTTATCTTTGTAAAGATGTTATGGCATTTCAAGTAGTAGTAATAAATATAAAAAAAAAAAAAAAAAATTACAGTCAAAATCTGTTATAACGACATCGAAGGGACTGCTCATATTCAGTCGTAAAAACCGATAGTCGTAACAACCGGTGATGTTTAATGTGTATCGTGCAAGTACAAACAAATCTATAGGGAATTATTGCAAAAATATATTTACATAATACGCGATTTTTCTTCAATATGTATTAATTTGTTTTCTTTTTCTTCGCGACATTTTGAAAGTTTCACGAATAACTCCACAAAGTTTTGGTGCGTCTTGTGTATAGATAAGTAACAAACTAACTAAAGAGATATGAAGAAGCGGGCTTTGACTCTATTGCATGCACGTGTTTTGTTTCTAAGAATTAGAAAAGACCCTACACTAAACTAAATCCTATTGTTTTCTTTCCTGATTTTAATAGCCATTGAAGACAAATGTGGATACCTATTCAAATTGTTTACAATACAGCTTAGCCGGTCGTTCTAACAGATCTAATTCTCTGAAATATTAGTTAAATGTGGTCGTTTTATCAGGTATGTCGTTATTAGCAATGTCGTATAAAGCAATATTTTTAATAAGGCGCTCATATAGCATTCAGCCGGGACCTTTGTTCTAGGTTATTATAACCGGCATGTTGTTCTAAACGATGTCGCAGTAAACGGTTTTGACTGTATATTTAAAAGAATAATTGAAATATTTTCCAGTAGAGAACCAGAGTCCATAGTTAGACCAAAAAGGTCAGATGAACCAGAAGAAGAGAACAAATACAATGAGAAATTGGAAAAAGCGAGAAGCAAAGCTGTCAGACATCTATTCTTGATCAGACATGGCCAGTACAATGTGCAGGGAGAAACAGACAAAGAAAGAACCCTCACGGACCTAGGTAAGTTATTTACTTTTCAAATCATGTTGTAGTTTAAAAGAAAATAAAATTTATTCACAAACCAAATCTATATATTAATATACGTGAAGCAAAAACTTTGTACCCCTTTTTTTACGAAAATTGTGCGGACGGAGAAGTATCAAATTTCCCACACTTATAGAGAATATAGAGAAGGAGTGCAGAAAGCTAATATTAAAAAAAAATGTATTAATAATACATTAAATCAATAAAAAAAATATTACACACACTACCATGTACCTATTTGACATACACACATATATACTCTTTAATTATTAATCCTCTTTAGTTCTGTCGTGAAACTTATCTAAGTTCTGATCTGATGGAAGTTGCAAATGTATTGTATAACAGCTGACCCAAACTCTGAAGTTTCAAGATGGGCAGAGTCTCATGGCATGTTTATGGGATCTGGTAACTGCTTAATACCAGATGGGCCATGAGCTTTTTTATGACCATGAACGAATCATAATATTTTGTGTTATGCATTTATGATACATTATTTTTAGGTAGAATCCAAGCAGACCTAACAGGTCAGAGACTAGCATCCTTAGATATAAAATGGGATCTACTTGTTAAATCTACAATGACAAGAGCACAGGAAACTGCTGCCATTATAGCAAAGCACTTAGACAAAGATATTGAAGTTAAAGATTGTCAATTATTAGAAGAAGGTGCTCCGATACCCCCCGAACCTCCCGTGGGACACTGGAGGCCTGAACCAAGAGTAAGTAATCTACTAATAATATTCATAAACAATAAAATCATTCAGTACAATTTAAAATGAAGAAAGTGAAATTAAGCGAGTTCAAGGAGATCCCTGTTTTTTTATTGCTTTGATAATAGATGATTGCAGGTATGAATTTAAAACATGATGTTATTCATTCTTTGTGTAAGTCATTTGTGAGTAACTTTTTTTTTTATTGCTTTGATGTGTGGACGAGCTCTCAGCCCACCTGGTGGGTGGTTAAGTGGTTACTGGAGCCCATAGACATCTACAACGTAAATGCGCCACACACCTTTAGATTGTATTTCTTTTATTTAGAATAATTAGTGTTTGCCAGCAACCACGCTTGATATCATTACACTATTTCATCTCTTAGTCTGGAATTATTTAAATTTAAACAGTGTCATTACAGGTATAATAGTTAGAACCTTATATTGCATGCGCTCACAAATAGATAATTTATTTAGAAGAAAAAATCAACACTGCATCCTGCTATTTACATAGCATGTGTTTTTGTTGTTGTAGTTAGATATTTATATTTAGTTGTTTGGATTCATTATACTGACCAAGACTGGCATTATTCCATTTAATATACTAACCGCTTGCAGAATTTATATTGAGATGTAACTTCTAATGTTTAATATTCTACAATAATATTAATGTGGGAGTAAAATTAGATTGTAAATATATTAGATAGGTAACTTTTAACGTTTAATATTCTACATATTTTAATATTAATGTGGGAGTAAAATTAGATTGTAAATAAATTAGATAGGTAACTTTTAATGTTTAATAACCTACATATTTTAATATTAATGTGGGAGTAAAATTAGATTGTAAATATATTAGAATTGAATAGTTGAAAAAGAGGATGATTCTCTATTGTTCATTTTAAAATAAAGTAAAAGAAAGAATAAGCTGAAATAAAACAAAATTATGCTTGAAGAGATCTAGAGGATTATTAGAGGTTATTTGTTATTTGCTAGAATTTTGAGTCTGACAAGTTTGAGCCACTTGTTCGTTCACTTTTAAAAATAAAATTAACTAAAGGTTGACAATGAAATCATTATCACGTCAAAAATATTTTTTTTATAATAACATGGAATAAGAGCTAATTTGAGCCAGTATAATTAAGCAGTATGGTTTCGCACGTTTAGCAGTTCTTCCAGGACAGCGCAAGAATCGAAGCGGCGTTCCGGAGGTACTTCCACAGAGCTCCCCCGGAACAGACCAAGGACACCTACACGCTGCTCGTGTGCCATGCCAACGTCATACGCTTCTTTGTGTGCAAGTATGTTTATTGATACGCTTTTATTAGCTTCAGACGTATGTAGGTTAGTATGTAACGGAATCTCTGAACATGATTATGACCCTCCTTCAAAATGTCGGATTAACTCGAAATTTGGTGTACTTATTAAGGACCGAACAATTAAATATTAAAAATTATAAAAAAAAAAATTGAAATGCAATTAAAAAATGAAAAATTAATAATTGTTTAAAAGAACTATAATAACAAAATACGACCCTCCTTCAAAATGTCGGATTAACTCGAAATTTGGTGTACTTATTAAGGACCGAACAATTAAATATTAAAAATTATAAAAAAAAAAATTGAAATCCAACTAAAAATAGATTTTTTTTTAATAAATTTGAATTAAAAATAGTGTAGGAAAAAATTATTTTATTGTAAAAAAAGCGTGGGGTGCACCCCACGGTGGTATCGGTAGTTATAAATAATTTATGAACAGATATGAGTAGAAGGCTTATTTTTATAATATCCTATTACTTATTTTTTTACAATATTACTTACGGACAGACAAACTTGTAACGGTACCTCTCTTTGAATAGAAGAAACATAGCAAAGGCCAGACATACTGTTCAAAATTAATAAGACAATAAATGTATAAAAAGTAGAGTCTTCAAATGTTAGATTTTTTTTTAATTAGATGCACAAGTTCAGTTAAATCAATTAAGTCTCCAATATGTTGCTGTATTAAAACAAAGCATTTTTTTTGTTTCATTTACATACCTACTACACTAAACTTGAAAACCAACATTTAAAGTCTAATTTTATATTAATTTACTTCACACAATTATAAATTTATATATATAAATTTAATTCTCAGTTTCATATTTTTTTATCTCGTTGTTATAATGACATTTCTTATTAATTCAAACAGCGTAAGCGCTACAGCAAAATTGATATGCACTTTACCTATGCACACCTTTACATGTACATAATTCGTCTTCTCGTATTAAAAATGTATAATCTCAAAATTTACAAATTGTACAGGAGAGTGTTTTAAAGGTTTAACATGTGATATTTTTAATATTATCATCTATGGAACATTAATTTTTTATACATAAAAATATTGGTGATACCAAATGATTCCGCAAATTAACTCAATTTCGAATATTTTAGGAAATTGTCCACTTTTAATGGGAAAAGACCATAATATATGCAGAGCTGTCAAGTTTGTTGTTTTGTTTAGTGTGATTTTTCCGCATTTCCAGAGCCCTCCAGTTCCCGCCCGAAGGCTGGCTGAGGATCTCGTTGAACCACGCCTCGATAACGTGGATCTCGATAATGCCGAACGGAAACGTAGTGCTCCGCTCGCTCAGCGATACCGGCCACATGGAACCTAAATACATAACGAGCCGGTAAACGTTGCTCACACGTACGCTACCAACATTGAGAAGTGACGTCATGTTAAAATTGTAATCAAACATTTCGGCCGGTTGCTCTAAGTTAAAAACCGCGCAAAGGAAATTAAATTCAAACTAGAATACAATTTCGAGTTGTAAATTGAATTGCCAACGTCGACTTTTCGAAGTTTGATAATTTCCCTATAAATTTCGGCAGTGTTGCAAGCGCTACGATCACTGGTCGATTGAGTGCAGGCAGAATGTTTGAAGCAGGCAAATGTCTGCCCTAACTCTAGTCCGGTTTTCGTCCATGGTTCATTTCGTTAAAGGGAGCCACAGCTCTGAAGAACCGGCGATACAAACGCAGCGGTCTTCTGTTTTTTCTTATAACAAACAGTAATGCATATATAATAGAAAACTCGATCTATGAAATTGAAGAAGCTAAACATTATTTCAAATTCATTGAAATTTGTTCTTATCGCGAAATGGAATTCCCAAGAATAATTTTATTAATAATTATATTTATTATTAATAATTACAATAAAATAAATGCAAACAAAAAATAAGCAAATTATGAAAACGAATTAAACTAGACCAACAAACGTAAACTAGATTCGACTTTATTGCATACAGCTGAAGCTTTAAAATCGCTTGTAACAGTATCGCGTGTGAGTCAAAAGCGCAAACAACACCAGTATGCTTAGTGCGAGTTTTTTAACATTCTCGATAGCGTAAAAGCGAAGTCAGTTTTCTATGCAGTTGGAACAGCGCCCCTAGCGGCAAACGTAGGCAAATGATCCATACAAATTTGACTTAACTTTTACGCTATCGAGAACGTTAAAAACTCGCACTAAGCACACAGAACCCGACCGAAATAAACTTACATTGCTGTCTATAGTTTTAACATGACGGCCCGTCTGTTAGGCAAGTAGTGGTTATACACGGAGATTGGTGGGTAGTTGGTTATTATTGTATGAACTCGACCGGGATTACTTGTTAATAGCTCTCGATAAACTGTATGTATGCATTGTCTACAGTTTTAATCTATGTCCACAAACGAACCGCACTGTTTTATTTCTCGCCGGATCTTCTCAGTGGGTCGCGTTTTCGATCCGGTGGTAGATTTTGCGAAGCACTGCTCTTGCTAGGGCTAGTGTTAGCAACACTCCGGTTTGAGCTCCGTGAGCTCACCTACACGTTAGGGCGAAGCTAAAATAGCTTCTTAAGGCTATCAGCATAGGTAGGAAAAAAAACTGTTTTATGGAGAGCTGTCTGCAGTCACCGCGGCCGACAGCGAACACATCGCCGTCAAATATATTGAACATAAAACGGGTTGAAAAGTGTAAATTTTAAATATTTATATATCTTTGTAATCGATTGTAGGAGTACTGCGAACGGATCGCACGTATCAACGGACGCATTTGTAGAATAAGTGCTCTTATCAGGAATAATACCATATGCAGTTGTTGGTTATTGAAAAATATATGTGTCAATTAAATCGCATATAAGTACTTAATTAACTTAGATTAATGGCGACGCATAATGCGTTCGTATACAGATACGACCGAACACGAACGATAATAATGTTTATATTTTAAAATATACTTAAAATAAATAAGGAAAATATAATAATTTTAATCTTTTTTTTTTTTATCTTAAGCTAAACAATAATTACAACGTGTGACGTTGTATGGGGCTGTTGTGTATTACTCCGCGATCGATGTTTCGATGCGTAATTTGGCCTCAAATGACGTCACACGCGACGTGACGTAAAAAATATTTGTTAAGAAAAAAAATAGCAGCTGTTCTATTACTTCGTTTACTTAAATTAATGTATATTGTAATAAACGTATTTAATATGTTGAATCATATATCTGCGTGTGAGGGAACTGTTCTTTAAACTACGGCCGGTATATATTTATATTAGGTCTGTTGAACTTATGAAGTTGCCGTGACTTTTTGGCGGGAACGCGAGGAGTGAAGTTGTGTGATTTGTTTTATTTTGTCTTTTTAGTGTTTCTTCAGTTTTAAATGTGTAATAACGGTGGTTTATTAACTGTTTAGGATAACTGTGAAAGTGCACAAATGTGGGAAAATGAAACAAAGCCGCTGAACGTAACTTCTCGGGATCCTCCAAAAAGTCCACTGAAAAAGTCTCAGTAAATTACCACCATTTTACTGAGATCGAATTTCATCCCATATCATCTCATTTCATTTAATTTCATCTCAGTTGATCAATGTTTCAAATTAATCATCTTGAAATTCACTCCATATTATAATTTTTCATAGGAATAGGAATAATATGAATTAAAATGAGACTTGACCTAAAGGTCTTAGCTACCAGGTCATAAAATCTCTTAAAAAGAAAAAAAATGAAGTTGCCGTTTGACAATACTGTTCGTACAAATATTGTTCGGAACTAGTATATAAATATATGCAATTTTATCTTTAAACTGTAGTTAGCGAGATTCAAGTCTTTCAAATGTCTTTTGTTCTATGATGGCTGCCGCCACATTGACCTTTGCTGTTTTTAATCGTATTGCGCGCAGTAGAAAAAATTAAAATAATATTTCTAGATATACATTCTTCGTTCTTCATTTATTTCTTATTGTGTCTGGGTTCAACAGCATCATCATCTCGCTTAGTTTCTCTAACGGTTCCCTCACGTCTGACGTATTTAGATCACGTAAAAAAAAACAATTTATTCATTCTAAGTGTATCAAATGTGCCTATTTATAGTATTAGAATGTGTCATGCTAAAGAAAATCAATGAATCGATCCCGAAATTTTTGTGCCGCTTACTATTTTTGAGACAGTAATCTTAGCTTCGGAAGCTCCAAGAAGTAATGTATGAGGCCGTTAGCGCAAAAGTGGCCTAACCTTACCATAGTTAGTATGGAGATAATGAGGTTCGAATTCACCTTTACAATACTTCGTAGGCAAAAAAATACGCGCTTAAATGATGTTTATAAAGACATCTATTATCTATGGGTGAAACTAGGGATAGGCCGGTTTTGACATAAGCACGAATGTTAATTGTGGGTTAGGCCACTTTTGCGCTGACGGCCTCATATATCGTTTAAAAAATAATGTAATTAGTAATTTTACTTTAACAGGAATTACGAACCTATAAGTGACTATACGATAAGAGAGTTGGCAAACGAAGACCTTAGTGAGTCAGTGTTAAGATCTTGAAAGCGGAAACAGGAAAGCTTGGACTGACTAAACAGACAATATACGTCACTGGTTTTATTTGCCATAAATCAATTTACATTTTTTTAAGGGATTTTGTGACCTGGTGACTAAGACCTTTAAGTTATGTCTTATTTTAATTTATATTCATATTTTAATGGAAAATGATAATATAGAGTAAAATGAAATGAAGATGATATGGGATGAAATATAATCTCAGTAAAATTGTGGTCATTTACTGAGTTTTTTTCAGTGGACTTTTTGGAGGATCCCGAGAAGTTACGTCCAGCGGCTTTGTTTCATTTTCCAACATTTGTGTATCTTAATACGTAATAATACCTTATAATACGTAATAATACTTAGTACCTTTGTCTTTCACAGATATTAAATCTGTGAAAGTAACCACCACCGTTATTACACTTTTAAACCTGAAGAAACACCAAATAGACAAAATAAAACAAATCACACAACTTCACTCCTCGCGTTCCCGCCAAAAAGTCCAATCAGTTTTCGGCTTGTTTTATTTTGTCTATTTGGTGTTTCAGTTTGTAGTCGGAATTCATGTATGGTTCACAGTGACAAAAGCTGTAATGCGGTAAAAAATTTAGAAATTCCGCCCAAAATTGTGGACATACTAGTTCGCCAAGCGATTTAATGCGAAGTGGCAGTGTAAGAGGGCTGTTGGTATAAAATAAACATTAGACCTTTGATTAAGGTACCTCTGATTAAGGTACATATATGTACTTGTATCGATTTTTGAAACTGAAATCGTCATAGTACATATCGACCCTTCAAAGGCAAACGTGACTAAGCGACTATGCGTGAACTTTACAGTAGACTAATTTAAAGTTGAAATTGCTGAAAACAAAATTTATTTTAACGAATCTAGCTGTAGTAGAATCTAGCTAGTAGCTGTAGGATTGAAATGATTTTGATAGACCTAGAAATATTTTTTTTTGCCGCTTCGAATATGGTTATTGCCTATCATTTATGTATAAAGCAGTTATTGTCGCTTAGTCATGTTTGCCTTTCAAGCATCGATATAATATGTATTGTGTATTTTGTTACATTTGTGTTGCGTTTGGAGTTAAGTTCAATTCGTCTAGTTCGTTTTAAAAATGTCTTATTGTATGTAATAAATCAAAATATTCTAAACCTAATGTTATTAGTAGAGAAATGTCATTTTCCCTTGACGTATCAACATATCGACAGCGGAAAAAATGAAAAGTTATCCATCCACGTCATTATTGGATCGAATAAAGTTTGAATTTTTTTTTTGTCAGAAATCTGTACATACCGTGCTTTGAATAATTAAAATAATGTAGATAATATTATATTAAATATTGAAATATGAGTGACATTAAAAATGAGCGGGTCTTGTTTAACGAATTAAGCAGACATTACAAAATACAATTGAAGACATGAGTGGATGAAGGGGATGTGATGCAATTTGTTAATTTTGACAAAACGGACAACAAATTTTTGTTACTTTTTTTTTATGGCGTATAGGCAGACGTGCATACGGCCCACCTGATGGTGAGTAGTTACCGTCGCTCATGGACGTCAGCAATGCCAGGGGCAGAGCCAAGCCGCTGCCTACCGTTACTTGTACTTTTTCTTGGTACATAACTCCTTCATCACATGTAATTTCTAAAAATAGCCTTTAAGCTCGGAGTTTTATGGTCTAATATGGTTTATAGGCACATAACAGCTTCATTTAATGTAAAAACTCAAAAATCTTAAAAATGGTTTTTAACCCCTTCATCCACTCATGTCTTCATCCCATAGACACAGCCCACTGAGTTTCTCGCCGGATCTTCTCAGCGGTTGGCGCATTTACGTTGTAGATGTCTATGGGTTCCAGTAACCACTTAACACCAGGTGGGCTCTGAGCTCGTCCATCCATCTAAGCAATAACAAAAATAAATTGGTATCAGCATCAACAGTTTGATGTTTTTAATTCAACTACAATTAAGTTAATTCCATTGAAATAGCTGAAGAAGTTTTTTTGGTATGTTTTTTTTTTATTGCCCTTGTAGGCAGATGAGCTTTCGGCCCACCTGATGGTGAGTGGTTACCTGGACTTCAGCAATACCAGGGGCAGAGCCAAGCCGCTGCCTAAATTTTTTAACTTGAAATGTCTCTCCTGTGACGTTGCTAAAATGTCGCGTGAACCAAATCGTCTTTCACTCCTTGATGTGGTTACCGCGGGGAGTCGCGAGTTCTCGTCTACCTGTCTACAACAATAAGTTATAAATTTCACACCGAAACTTATACTAATAATAATGTTGACTGATCAATTAAAGTATGTTTTTTTTTTATGATTGAAAGATTACTGGTGGCCCGGAGGCCTTTCTAGCTTCACCAGGACAGGTGGGCGAGCAAAGGCTCAGCCAGAAGGGGTGGGATTTGGTAAAAACTGTCCGAACGCCTCCGAAGGAGACCTAACAACTCAGAGCAATTGCTTCGCGAATGAATCTACTACCGGATAGGAATCGCGACCCACTGAGAAGATCCGGCGAGAAACTCAGCGGGCTGATGCATGGGTTAGGTTGCACGTCGACCTCTTTGTCGAGTTCGACGAGTACGGTTACCGGGGTTAAAGTATATGTATTAAACATTGACGCTAACGAATATATCGTATAGAACAAACAGAATATGTATCGACTTTATTTTGATACGTTAATAAAATATATTAAAGTTGTATTGTTTTATTTGATTTAAATTTTCAGTTCTCGAGCAAAACGAAGCTTCGCCTTACGAGCATTAGACAAAGTAAGGTTTTATTAGTTTTAAAGTTTGTATTTTTTAGCGGGTAAAACTAAGGTAGGTAAGACGTCTTGTGACCCTGGCCACCCTGGCTACTTCTGCCGTGAAGCAGGAATGCGTTTCGGTTTGAAGAGTGGGGCAGCCGTTGTACTGTAAAAACTGAGAGCTTACAACTCATATCTCAAGGTAGGTGGCGGCATTTACGTTGTAGATGTCTATGGGCTCCGGTAACCACTTAACATCAGTTGGGCCGTGAGCTCGTCCACCCACGTAAGCACTAAAAAAACCTGGATTAGATCGTGTATATGGCTTATACATAACAGCAAAGAAAAACTTCATAGTTATAACTTTTATTCATATTTATTGAGATTCCTGTAGATACAATGTAGATAAAGAGTTGCCCTAAGAAGTTGCTAAAAGTACTTACAATTATGGGCATTACGCAATCGTTTTAAATTNGCCGTGAGCTCGTCCACCCACGTAAGCACTAAAAAAACCTGGATTAGATCGTGTATATGGCTTATACATAACAGCAAAGAAAAACTTCATAGTTATAACTTTTATTCATATTTATTGAGATTCCTGTAGATACAATGTAGATAAAGAGTTGCCCTAAGAAGTTGCTAAAAGTACTTACAATTATGGGCATTACGCAATCGTTTTAAATTAGATAAATTTAAATTTTACCAAGATAAAATGTAAAAGCTGTTACACATAGAAAAATTGTAAGATATGTTTATAAATATGTTGAAGTTATATCATAACCAGTGATCGTACAAAACACAGGTACGGTTTTTAAGGTGACTTCGCGCGTTTTACGCTTCGGTCAGTCGGAAAAGTAAAATATTCCCACTTTTGTTTTCAAAATATCTAGAAAATTAATAGGTAACTTTACTATACTTACGAATAAATATTTACATTTAATTAGTAAATTGGTGTTATAGTAATTAGAAGTTATAAATAGTGTAATTAATCATATTATTGAAATGAATGATTATTATTAAGTAATATTCAAAAAATCTAAATATTTGCGAAAAACTTTGAAGTCATGAAATTTCCAAACACTATCTACCTAAAAGATTCAAACTCGATTTAAGATTTTACTCGCATTTGAAACATGAAAAAAAAGACGTAGAGAAAATAAACCGCATTTGAATGTTTAAAAATGTTAAGTAATGAAAATTCAAGTATGTTGGTGGTTATTATTAATACACAGGTCATTTATACATATTAAATAATGAACACATCTCGTCTATTTTATATTAAGCGTACATAATATAGAATGGTAATTGATAATACAAAAGGTATGTATGTGACGTGATAATAAATAGTATATTAGGCCTCCGGAAGAAAATGCCACTATCGCATGACATTGGTAACCATAGATTATACACTATTAACACGTTCACTGCCTCGTAGGTCACGGGTGCCCTACGCGGCGCACTGAAGTACCTAATTATGACGATTCTTCGCAAACAGCCCGGAACACCGAACTCACAAAAGCTCCGCCAGTCGGACTTTTAGTGTTAAAAGTTCAATTAAAAACATCGAATTGTTGATACTAATACCAAATAAAACTGACCTTTAATTACAAAGGTAAATGTCGGGTATTGAGCGATTTGTCGCATATACCAAATAACTTTTCACCCCTCGATACCAGAAAAATGACGAGATACGAAGTTGTAGTTCACTTTGCCCTTTTAAACTTCTGTTTTCGTAATGATCCAGCGCTTTGGTGGAACAGTGACGGGGCTGTTTAGGAGGTTCAACAAAAATTACGTCATAGTTGCAACACGTCAAAGAGGCCCGACCCAAACTTTACATGTGACGTTAGCATGCCATTCCGGAGACGACACCGTTTTTATAAACGCATATTACGTTAAAAATCGTAATTATCGTACAATTATTACAAAAAAAGCGGGAAAAATCGATGACAATTTGGAAGCGCGATATTGCGATGCGTTAGTAAAATTGAAGCGATTATTTTTATATAGCTGCGACGGGTCTAGGCAGCTGGATGTCGGTGCCCTCGGTAGCGTCCTCGTCATCTTCATCGTCGCATGCATCCTCAGGCTCACCTAGGGCCCTCACGAATTCTGCAATATAAATTACTTACGTTATTAAGTTGCAATCGTTGTATGATAATGGTATATTTTAATGAATATAATTATAAGGGAAAAGATAAATTGAATGTGAGGCAATTAATATTTTATCGCTTGCAAAATTTTTGAATATAAAATCCAGTAGCTACTAAATACTTATATAGTTTTGTCTAAAGAATTGATTGAGTTAGAACTCTTTTAGGTTTCAAGTAAAATGACATCGTAGAAGTCACTACAGCTTTTAAAGCTCTATCTACGAGTATTTGTAATGTATCCTAAATACCACTCACCTAAGAAATCTATACGGCCGTCTCCATCGGAATCCACTTCTTTGATCATATCTTCGACTGAAAAAATTTAATCGTGAATTTTGTAAGATGGACTTTTTTTAATGCTTAGACGGGTGAGGGAACTCACGACCACCTGGTGTTAAGTGGTTACCGGAGCTAATATGCATTTACAACGTAAGTTCTGCCACCCACATCTTTGAGACATGCATACAACGGCTGCCCCACCCTTCAAACCAAAACGAATTACTGATTCACGCCAGAAATGGGCAGAGAGGTTGTACCTACCCGTGCGGACTCACAAGAAAGTTTTTTTGGTTTAAAATGTTTTATTGCAGAGATGGACAAATGATTTGTCTTAAGTAATCCGCTATTGACTTGACAACGCCAATATTTTCACCCACCTTGTCTTTTAAGTTCTATATCAGTTGTTACATCATTAAGTATATAATACTCGTAATGGGCATTAACATTTTATTTTATCTTCTCTGCTTGAAAAACTATTTTCAACAACAAATAACCTTTGATTACTATTTTTTTTAATACGTGAACACGTGTTAACTTGCTTGCGAGATTTAAACACCGAGATTCATTGGGCGTCATAATCTTTAAGTAACGAACCCATCCTACACAACACTTTACTTTCAGTTTAAATGTATTCGTTGCAATAAATAAAAACATAATACATATATTAAGATATTGTTAATCGTATTGTTACCCCGGTAAGAGTAACGCCATCTGTCGCCGAATAGTCGAACAAATGTCGAAGGATCTACTAGCATCTAGAACGCTCGAGAAGTATAACGCCATCTATCGTCAGATAGCGGAAACCTACTAATACTCGAAATGCGTGGAATATTCTTTATAATTCTAGGGATGTGGTATCGGCTATAAAAGCGTTGCAGAGATAGCACGCAGTCTATCTCTGCAACAGTTAGTGATCGCAACTACTCGAAGCGAAACGGCGAACGATCACCTGAAGCGAAGCGGAAGAAGCCAATTGAGAATTTTTAAAGTGTAGTGAAGTGTTTTGTGTGTTCTAAGTGCTAACACAGTGTCAACTTGTAATTCGGTAGAATTTTATTCATCCCGAACCCCAGCGCGTAAGAGAATTGACAGATCAAAAATTAGATGGCCACTCACTTTCCTCTTCGGACAAGTCTTCGCCCAAGCACTGCAGCACGGCGCGCAGATCTGATGCGCAGATGTAGCCGCGGTTGTGTTTGTCGAACACGCGGAAGGCGTCACGGAGCTCTCTCTCCTCTTGTTCCGCCGAACTTGAACCTCCCCCTCCGCCGGACATCGATTTGGACAGGATGCTGACGAACTCTTCGAAGCTTACGTTGCCGTCACCTTAAACAATCCAAATGCTTAAAGGTCTGAAGTTGTGTCAAAAAATTTCGACAACGTGAAAACATTTCGTACTATTACTGCAGCACTGCGGTTTGAAGGGTGGGGCAGCCGTTGTAACTATTCTTGAGACCTTAGAACTTATGTCTCAAGGTGGGTGGCATATTTACGTCGTAGATGTCTATGAATTCCAGCAATTACTTCACATCAGGTGGGCTGTGAGTTCGTACACCCATCTAAGCAAAAAAAAAAGATGTGTGGTGTCGTGGGACACCGGATAGGAACGGAGTTCCTTATTATAAAAATATTAATTTTAAGTTCTATTCGAGGTATAAAGAAAATAAAACTGGAGGTTTCGCAACAACCCACGGTCATTCGGTAACGTGCGAACTTATTGTGGTACACTTCATTCACGGTTGTTTGCGCAAACGAACGCTTTGAGATCGTGGCAATGAATGATAAAATAATAATATAAGTAATTTTTTGTACGTTATTACAAAGTTAAGTCGTACACTCTGTGCATTACTAATAAAATCTTACGTACGGACGTTTTTTCCCGGTAGGATATCCCTCCGCATCGTCTCATAAGGAACTTAGTTCCAAAAAAAACACTTATTTTCGGTTTAAATCTTCTTTGTAAGCGCACTTAAGTATCTGCTTTATTATATAGCGTAGATTTGTGAAAAATATAATTGAATTTGTAGTGCCTTACCGTCGCTATCGACTTCTTGCAGCATGTCTTGCAATTCCTCGACGCGTGCGAACTGTCCGAGGCTACGCATTACCCTCCCGAGCTCCTCCTTCGTGATAGTTCCGTCACCATCTTTGTCGAAGAGACGGAAAGCTTCACGAAACTCTACGAATAAACAGCTTTTTTAAGTACGCGGTACAAACAAATAGATACGGTGGTACGGCTCTCCCACTGGTGGTAGGACCTCTTGTGAGTCCGCACGGGTCCACCATCCTGCCTATTTCTGCCGGGAAGCAGTAATGCCTTTCGGTTTGAAGGGCGAGGCAGCCGGTGTAACTAAACTATTAGACTGGTTGTAACTAACCTTAGAACTTATATCTCAAGGTGGGTGGCGCATTTACGTTGCAGATATCTATGGGTTCCAGTAACCACTTAACACCAGGTGGGCTACGAGCTCGTCTACACATCTAAGCAATAAAAAATAAATAAAACAAAATACATGAAATTCGATAACCAATTGACAATCGTAATTAAAATTATTCATAATCTGATAAATCATTTGACCTGTTTCAATGTCAATGTCAATGTACTGTCCAAGTTATGCTTACGTAAGACAGACGTTGTCAACCCTTGAGTTTACATAAGTGATCATGGTAAACATAAAAATATCTATCAACAACTGAATGTGTTTGCATAGCTAATTAAAGGCCTAAATATATAGACCGTTGCCATTGTGGATTCGATGTGCGATACTATGATTTATGGAGCGTATAGAAAATTCCGACCATTGACTGGCGTATTGGTTGCTGTAATTCATATTTTTACACTTTAGGTACCTATTTAAACATATTGAACGTATGTTTGAGACATTATTTAGCTTTTAATTATATCAGGAGTTTTTTCGGGAAAAAATAATAATTCTGTAAACAATATTTACTGTTATTAATGTTGATGTACCTAATCATCGTTTTAATCCGGTGGTTAACGAATAATTGTGGTAGGACGTCTTGTGAGTCCGCACTGATAGGTACCACCACACTACCTATTTCTGCCGTGAAGCAGTAATGCTTTTTGATTTGAAAGTTGGCGCAGCCGTTGTCCTGCAAAAGCTGAGACCTTAGAACTCACGTTCAAAGGTGCGCAAAATGTCAGTCGCCACGCGCCGCCCACTTGTCGAATCGAGGTAGACATATTGTTGCACCGGCTATTCGGCGATCTCGTACTCTTACTTACTCGTACTCTTACTTAATAGCCGAACGAATATCGAAGGATCTAGTAGCATCTAGAACGCTCGAGAAGTACAACGCCATCTATTGTCAGATAGCGGAAACACACAATACTCAACTTATGTGGAATATTCTCGATAACTCTAAGGATGTGGTATCGGCTATAAAAGCGTAGCAGAAATGGCACGCAGTCAGTAATTGGAAGGATTGGAATTGGAAAATTGGCGGGAGAAGTGAATTATGAATTTTAAAGTGTTCTAAGTGTTGAATACAGTTTTTAATTTGTACTTCGTTAGAATTTTATTTATCCCGAACCCCAGCGCATAACAATACAAATTACCTTATCTTCTTTATGTACCAGAATAGGCTTTTAACAACTACTGCTAAATTACCTTTCATCTGAGTCCTAGTTATGCCGGTGCTCTCGTCGATAATGGAAGCCTTTCTATCGAGGTTGGTATTGGCCGCCGGCTTCAGGAATGTTACCTGGCGCTGGGACCTCGATGGAGAGATCGATGTAATCGACTGCTGACTGTAAACATTACAAATATGAGATAGGAAAACATTGGGAACGTCCATCCGTTGAAGGCAGTGTTGTTCCCCTTTTTACGGTACCCAAAATCTCATCGTTTTTCGTAATCGTCAGAAATCATAAACAATGTAAATTAATAAACGTATTTTGAATCGATTTCGATATTTCCGAACATCAAAATTGTATTTCCTTCAAAGAAAATAAGACTTCGTATCTCCTACACAAAATTAAATAGGTATTTAGAATTCGATTGAGTAAATTCCTGTGATTCCGCTCGAGGGTTCAATGAGAGGTAATCGATCGAATCGAAAAACGTTTGACGAAATTTTTATTTCACGTTACGTAATGTCTCTTTACTGTTTTGATAGAAGTTGTATGTTTACAACTCACTAAGTTCGATAAAATTTGTTACCACCATCCCATGTATATACTTCAGACGTAAGGCAACCATGCGTTCTGATTTGTTGGGACAATCCATGAACAGGGACGTCTTAAGCTAGGATGGGGCCCTTGGGCACACAAGAATCGAGGCCTTTTGGAAAGTAAAAAAAGCGAATTATAATAACATTTTTTTACTGAGTATGACCATTTATTATAGGTAATCAAATACAGTATGATATAATATGTCATTAATGATATTAGAATGCTGCTGGTTTTTTGGTTACGATTTCGATAACGGCTTCTTTCGGGATTTCTGTTGAGCAAAATCGTCTATTATAGGCATAGTATATGCCTTGTAAATACCTTCTGATTACTGATTTGTGAAAAAAGTGTAATGTGCCCGACAAAAATGTTTTGAGAATAAACGTGTGAGAGAAATTGTCGGTCTTTCGGGGCCCCCTGAGAATGGGGGCCCTGGGCACGGGCCCCGTGTGCCCTTATGGTAAAGACGGTATTGTCCATGAACAATATAAATACCTACCTAAATGGGGTAAAATATGGGTATACGACGTCTGCATAATAACATTAAGTCTCCTCTATCGAACCTTGGTGGTAGCGTGTTTTGTGAGCTTGCACATGTAGATACCACCACTGTTTCTGCCTTTAGCAGTAATACATACTGTTTTAAACAGTGGGGTAGCGGTTGTACTATAAAACAGAGACTTAAAACTGAAGTCTTAAGGTGGGTGGCGGTATTTACAATGTTGATGTCTGTGGGCTCTGGTAAACCACTTAACACCACGTGGGACGTGACCATAAAAATAGTAATAAAGCACCTATCTAAACAATAAAAAAAAATTAGATTGTGAGGTTATCCTATACTATCGTCTATGCCAGTAATTGTTTCATACATTCTATTGAATTTTCACCAAATACAAATAGTTACAGTAACATCGAGTGGTAAAAATGAACATAACATAAAAACTAAAACGTAATTTGATGAGAAGCAAAAAAACAAATTGGCTTAATCGTCCTTCGTAATTCGTCCGCCTTCGAAGTTAATTAGAAAAAGAAAAGACCATCGGAGACGCAACGATGAATTATTGCAGGATATTAAAAGCCTCACAGTGATGAACTGGAAAATGAAGACAACAATATCGGACGATGGAAATTCCTAAGAAGGACCTCTACAGCACATCAAGACATTAATTACTCTTTTAAAAAGAAAACAAAAACTAGTGGTAGGACGTCCTGTGAGTCCGCGCGGGTAGGTACCACCACCCTGCCTATTTTTGCCGTGAAGCAGTAATGCGTTTCGGTTTGAAAGGTGGAGTAGCCGTTGTAGCTATACTGAGACCTTAGAATTTATATCTCAAGATGGGTGGCGCATTTACGTTGTATATATCTATGGGCTCTAGTAACCACTTAACACCAGGTGGGCTGTGAGCTCGTCCTCCCATCTAAGCATTCAATAAAAAAACTAAAAAAAACTAATAAGTATAGATGATTAAATAAAAATTTGTAAAGTAATATCTGCTTTCTAATCACAACAAAAAGTTTTTATATACTAAAAGTCAATGGTTCATTAATACGCAAAGGCTTTTCTCAATAATGCTTCCACACAATAACGGTGCAGACAATAATAAAAAAATATATATACATATTATAGGTACACAATATAGTGAGACTTTCTATTCAGTGTCTTTGTTGAAAACGGTTGGTACCGGCCCGCTATTATAGAAAAACCATTGACGTTTGAAGGTCTAAGTTGAATATTATCCATTAAGTCAATATTACGCGCATTAAACTTAATTGCCGTTCATTCGCTCAACTTACGTAATTATCGTAGGTACCACAGGTGTATCGTAAGGCCGCACGGGTAGGTACCACAATACTGCCTATTTCTTGCCACGAAGAAGATAATCATTGCGGTTTGAAACATTAGAGATACGCAATACAATCAATATGACTCCATTGATCGGTGCACAAGGAATGTTTTACTGGGAACTTGTATCGCCATTGCGTCGAGGTTCGCTTGTAAATGGTAGTGGATTTAGCGAGCCAATGGAACCGGATATTTAACAGTAGTGCTCACTAAATCTCTAAGATTTGCGCTATGAGTGGCGGCTGGTCGAACTGTGAGGCTACGAGGTTAGGAGACTGACTTGATGTTTCAATTCCGTGAGCCGTAACGGATGAGTTGAATCTGTGATACATATTATACCGGTGGACTTACCTGCCCGAAGGGCTGACCGCCAGGGTTGGGGGCTCTTTACTTGCCGGTCGGGAAGATTCGTCAGGAGGCCCTGGCTCTCTGCCACTATTGCTTGTTTGTCGGGTCTATTAAACATATTGGTAAATTATATCGAAATTTAAAAAACTTTTCCTTTTGACCAGATTCTGGGTATTAGGCCACACGTCATACCCTCAACATAGAACGGCAATGCGTTTATTGCGGCACAACTAAGCCGCCGCCTACCTACATTTGAATTAAATAAAAAGCAAGCAGAATTCGTATGTAACCAATTCAAAAATAATTAGGCTAATTTATTGACATATATTAATACGTGAAGCAAAAACTTTGTATCCCTTTTTACGAAAATTGCGCGGATGGAGGAGTATGAAATTTTCCACACTTATAGAGAATATAGAGAAGAAGTGCACAATGCTAATATTTTTTTTAAATAATGCATAAAACATACATTAAATCAATAAAGAAAACATTACACACACTACATACCATGTATTTAACGCACACACGCATGTAATAGCAACCTAAACTGACAACAACCTATAAATCAGCAATTTATCAATTCTACACTATATATTTGTTGAATTGCATATTAAAGCATAGTCCAAAGCAGTTACTTCATCAGGAACATCTATCTATTGAGTAATAATAATACCATTATGTAATAATCATTGTATATTCATTTATTTATGATAAATGGCAAATAGAAACATTTTACATACATAATAATATTTATTTAATAACGTAATAATTATACTTATCTTTTAATTCACAATGTCCACACTTATACACAGTATCAAGCCAGAGAGAGAGCTCCGCACCGCCCGACGTCTCAACCGAGAATGAATCGAGATTGGTCGGCGCAGGGGCTTTTGTAGGCGGTGACAAACAACTATGCGTCATACTTGTTTGTCATCGCTCGAACGTTGGCTTTAATTTAAAATTGTATTTACTGCAATTATTTATAAATATATTATTACTTAATTTACTAACAT